AGAATACTGCCCATTATTTTGGCTGGAGGAACCAAAGCTCCTCTCACTGGGCAAAAGCCTTCTCTGACTGGTCCCTGAAAGCATTGTGCGTAGATGCCTGCTGGTTGCCATGGTGAATGATGCTGATCTGAAGAGATGAATAATGTGAGCGTAGGGGACGACAGTGGCGTTACTCAGTGGTGAGAGAGAGATCGGGGAGAGCCTGGTGCGGAGGAGGGAGAAGCACATCGTCTCGGATTTGGTCCCCTCTCAGAGGAAGAAGCCTAGCCATACCCACTGCGAGCATCAGGTAAGGGGCATGAATGGCTGTCTTGGCAATGAAAATGGCTTTTTCTTTTACGCTGCCTGGAGAAGGGCCAGGCTGTGGGAAGGGAACAGCTAAAACCAGGAAGAGTTTAAACACAGAAGGGAGGAAGAAAATAAATATGGGGGGGGGGGCATGGATTTATCCCTGGAAGCTGAAGATGCTGCTGGCATCCTCAGTAGAAGATCTTAACAATGTCCGCTGCAGGGAACCCAGGCTATAACAGCCAGCAGCAGAGAGGAGGCAAACAGAAGGAAAGGCATGTGTGAGGATAGAATTCCCAATTACCCCGATGGGAGGGTTTTACAGAGTGCAGCGCTGTGTATTATAGGGTATGAATTCTGTACCATTGATGGCAGTTGGAAGCATGTTTGCTGGATGTGGGGGTCCCTGGTTGGGGAGGTGAGTATGTATGACGAGACCAGGGAGGGAGGATAAGTCAGTCTCCTTCCTGATAGTCATTTCTGGAAGGATCTGCACACACTTGTCTCATCTTCGTTGCTTCCCATTTCCTGGGCAGAATTCCCAGGCAAATGGAAAAGAGGGATTCCCTTTCCCCCGCATTTCACTTTCTTTAAAGAGGAAAATCAAGGATGGAAAAGCTGCTTTATACTGTGGCATTCTCCCATGGTTCACTTACCCTAACAACACAAGCGAAAAAAAACAGAAATCAGTTTGGCTTAGTATTCCCTCTGGGCTACGGTCTGACCGACAATCTACAACGCAATCTGCACGTCCGGCTGGAGAGGAGGGATAGGGAACACGGTAGGGGGAGATGGTCACCGGGACACACAGAGGTTGTCTCCCATCGACTCTAGATTTTTGATCAGGGGAAATTGAGAGGGACCGTTTTCTCTCTCACAGATAGAATGGAAGGAAAGCCAAACCCCCACGTCTCTCTGTCACCAAAGCAGCAAGGCCGGCAAGGTGAACAGGGCTCATCTGACTTGTCCAGCACACAGTCACGCTGTCTGTAAACCCAGTGGCTTTGCAGGGAAACACAGTGACTAAGTTCTCTCCCCGTTAGCTGAGATGCCAGCCTGCTCATCTGTAAGATGGGGATGGAGAGTCTAAGTCTATTATTATGTGAGAAGCCATCTACCAGAGCCTGAATTCAGCAACTGTTTACTTGCTGTGAGTGGTTAGATCAGTGGTTCTCAACCTGTGGGTCATGCGACCCCTTTGGGGGTCAAAAGACTTTCACAGGGGTCACCTAAGACCATTGAAAAACCCAGATATTTACATTACAGTTCATTACAGTAGCAAAATTATAGCTATGAAGTAGCAACAGAAATAATTTTATGGTTGGGGGAGGTCACTAGGACATGAGGAACTGTATTAAAAGGGCGCAGCATCAGGAAGGTTGAGAACCACGAGGTTAGATAGCCACAAAAGTCATGGTACTGGGACTATTAGAAGCTAAGCTATCTTGGGAGCTGATGACCTTGTCCTGAGAAACTAATATCTTGTTACCTTGGACTCTGACAAAACATAATACTAGCAGAAACTCTGAGGTGAGATTGCAATTGTGGCAGGCAGGTGCCGCAGTAAATCTCCACTAGCCATGGGAAACATAACTCAGAGTCTGAAAAAAAAAAAACCCAGCCACTGAGCAGAATGTTCTAGGTAACAGCTCAGAGAACTCGCAGCAGAGTCAGGAGGCCAGGAGAGGACTGATCTGAGAATCATAAGGTAGGCCCTCTGAGAGTCTATGGATCTCTCGTCACAGTGCCTGTGTTTACAAGGGCTGGGATCCATGTTTTAAGTAATGGATTTCAGCCAGGATGGGTGTGGCTGGGGCCATGTGGGCACGGATTGGCCAGGCCTGAGGGCTACCAGCTTTGTCGTGAGCCAGCCCTCATTCCCACTCGTACATCTACCACTTGTTAGCTGCCTTACGTAGCTTACCCTCTGGGCCTCCATTTTTTGGGTCTGTATGATGAACTCAGTGTTGGTGGCCATCCCAAATGCTCAGCCTACAGTAGCTAGGACTATATGGTAAATAAACACAGACGGAGGGGGACGTCACTCTTCGCTGTGATTTGGTTCCAGAACCGGGATGAACATTGAGGTTGGGAACGTGTCTTACACGGGAGCCATCGTCTCCTGGTCGACCTCGGAGCCCTGCTTGGAGGACTATTACCATATTATGTACAGGCCTAACTGGAACAGTATCTTCTCCAGCTACCTGCGCTACAGCTTCCATCACGAGGAGAAGGTACCTCGAACCATCACCTCCGTGGCACTGGAACACCTCGCCCCTTCCACTCTCTACTTCCTCTGTATCAGCTGCAAGAAGGCTGCCTTCCCATACAGTCACTACTGTACCATGTTCCACACCCTGGATAAGAGTCCGCTAGCTGCGGGGGGCTCCCTGGTGGACCCCCAAATTTCCCTTTGGGTGCTGATGGCCATCCTTCTGGCCTGCTTCACTGCGGTGTTGGCCTTCATCTGCCTCCAGTTCTGGTGCATCCGCTGTCATGAGCCTCGATGGTCTTACAGAGCTGGCCACATGGAGGAAGCCAATGGGTTGGTAAGATGGCCAGAGGAGGCCCCAGCCCTGGGTCAGAGGGAAGAAGACCTGCAAGGGCTCCCTCTGGTGGAACTGCCACGCAAGAACTCTGGGATGAGAGCAGAAGCTGAACCGGAAGCAGAAGCCAACCAGGATGTGTTGGGTGTGGTAGTCTTAGCTAGGGAGGGCGGCAACCAACCAGCCATACTGCCTCACTATAGAGAGTGAGCAATGGGGAGGAGATGGCCCATTTCACACAGCCTAAAAATGCTCTGTATACTGCATCCTATGTGAAAATTTGTCTATAGGTCACCCACTGCCCTCCTCTCAGATTTCAGTGCTGTATAGATGAGTGGGGTTGGATGGATGCCAGATGACCACGGTCCCCAAGCTGGAAAACACAGACCCTCCAGGTATGTCAGGGGCAAACAAGGCCTTGCTTCAGTGTCGTTCATTTGGAGGCCTAGCTAAGCACTGCAGTGCAGGCCTTGCTTCAATATTAAAATCAGCTGCAGCTATATCACACAGAGAGAGCAAGTAGCCAGACCTGAATCTGACACTCTACTTGGAAGAAATGCTGAGTCAGATATGGACCCTGAGCTTTGCTTTCCGTCGTTCTTTTTAAAAGGATGAAGGCCTCCTTCTACTTCCGGGCAATCGCACACCACACCCTGCGTCTCCAGGTTCATTGTTTTCTAAAGCCACAGACTGGAGCATCACTATTCACCATCAGCAGCTGACACCTTTTATTTAAACTGACCACAGCTTTAAAACGCAGACTCTTAGGAGGCAGCTTTGTGTTATCCCATAAACAAAAACCCAGGACCCTGCTGTTATAAACAGTAGGGAACAGGTGTAAGAATAAATACAACAAAATAATATTAAATTTGATGACTCATTCTGCCTGCTAATGCCTCTGGCTTTAAGAGCATCTCTCTTGTGTTCCATCAAAGGAGAGGCTAGCATCTCTTACCTTTATATAGCAAAAGGTTTGGAAGAGAATTGGAAAGAGAAGTCTGTGTTTTAATTTGTGAACCATGTCTGTGAATAGCCTCAAATGATATCCGCCACCACACCCTCTTTTCCTGGTGTGTTTGGGGTGCAATCTCACTACATAGCCTTTGTTGACTGGAACCTGCCATGTAGACTAGTCCTTGAACTCACAGCGGTCCTACCGCCTCAGCCTCTCCAGTGCTAGGACAGGTGAGTGCTATCACACCTGGGTTAGAAGCTTCCTTTGGTTTGAGAAAATTACCTTAAAGTGTCTGACTCCTCTGGAGAAGACACCCGCCCCCGCCCCCAGCACCTTCCTCATACACTGTGAGTGGCCCATCCAGAACTTCTCTGGGTTAGCCACACTTGTAAATCTTGAAGATCTCTTGGCCTTATCCCATCGTATTCACGTAAGCTGACCTCTGCTTACTCTGAGAATGAGATCTAAGGTGGCCATTTTTTGTTCTGTCACCAAGAAAATCACTGGCCTTTTTTTGGTGAAAGACACGTTTCACCTTTATGGTGGCTTCCTCTATTCCTCCCACATGAGTCCCTGTCATGATTAAACTGCGACATTGGTGGGCCTCGGTGAAAGCCATTCCTTATCGCACATGTGGACATGAAGTTATAGGTCGGTGTAGATCAAGTCTCTTTGCCCTGGGTGCATGTCTAACTCATGGCTGGCCGACACGGGGCAGATATTAAATGTCACTGAATGAATGGGCAGAAGGACCCTGTGGGGGTAATTAGAGTGAGGATGTGCGCATGTGTACACAAACCATATGAGGTAGAGCAGACCTTCTGCTCAGAGACAGCCCCAGCCATCCACAGTGGCCTACAAGCCCTGTCCGTAAACCCCTTATATTTACAGAGCCCAGAATCCCAGAATCCCCAGACTATGTTAGGGTGCATCGACTAAGAAATGGGAGGAACTGGGAAGCCGCAAGGAGAAGCCCCACAGACCCACTTACCCACAAACCTCAGCACAGCTCCCAGCAAGTTCTCCAACCCCCACAGCTTTGGTCACCCCATCCCTGCTGGCTGTGAACCAATAAAGATGGCTGTATCTGCAGTGGTTTCTGCCTGGCTCTCAATGTACTGCTTGACACTCTCTGATTCTGGGAATACCTTTCTGTCTATTTTTCTCGCACCCTGTCTGTCACAGGTGAGATGGGGTAACTAATTAATTACCTTGGATCCATAGAGGTAATAGGGCTGCACGTTGGCAGGTTTATCTCGTTGTGGTTCCTGGGTGAAAGGGATGGCAGTTCGGACGAAACTAGAAGACAAGAGACAGAGAAGCAGTTAACTGAGTCCCAGGAACACCCTTCACGGGACAGGAGATTGCCAAAGCCCCTCTCCACCGAGGCCTACAGTATGTCCTAGATGGATGCCTACAAAGGAGCTGCACTCTTTGGATTACTACACACTTCCCTATTCTTAAACGGGGGAAACCTGGAGACCAGGAGGCACAAGAGTCAGAGTGTCCTAGGTCTGAACTTGGCCTTTTCTGGGGCTCCACTTTGGTTTAAAAGTTTGCCAGTGAACTCTCTCTGTAAAGGGCCAGGCAGAAAATCCTTCAGCTCTGCAAGCCAGATGTCTTGGTCACAAGGACTCAGCTCTGCCCCCAAGCAGGAAAACATGATAAACAACAGCAGGCTAGCGAACGTGCAAAGTTCCAGGAGAGTTGTGACTTAAATCATCTTCATAGTCACGACTATTCCTCTTTGGATTTCCCCCTAACCACCTACTAAAGATGGCAACACTGGGCTGGGGAGATAGCTCAGCCATTAAGCACGGGCACCCAAGTTGGGATCCCCTAGATCCCATGGAAAAATGCTCAGTGGTTATAGCTGCTCCCCTATAGTTTCGGCCTCGGGAGGTAGAAGGTGAACTCAGGGGATCCCTAGAGGAATGTACAAGCTAGGAACAAGCTATGGAAAATTGAGAGAGCCTGCCATAATGAATAAGGTAGAAAAGCTACCGGAGATGATTCCTGTCATCAACTTGGGGTTTTCATGTAGGTGTGCTCATATGAGTGCATGTGTGCACACCCACATATTGTGTGACCACACATATTCAAACATACATACATGGACACAACACATGCATACAAAAATGAAAGGAATGATGACAAAGCATCCCCAAAACAAAGACGGCAACACCATTCTCAGTACATGGACTGTTCACAGCCAGTTCCCATTCATGTACAGTTGTCATGGCTGGTGACGAGATAGGGTATATAGTTTGTGGGCAGGCTATAGTTTGCAGCCCTGATTCAAACGTGCAATAAAGTTAAATCTTTATAACATTGGCATGTCTTGGTCACTGCACAGATTCAGGTACGTCTGTGTATGAAATCGTCTTGTATCCTTCCATTCATTCAACGTGGATTCAACTGACAGCACCCTGATCCAGGCTCCTGGAGTTCAAAGACCACTAACACATTTCCACCCATCCTTTTGTTCTCACTTGGTTTATGAATACAGGTGCGAGGCTTTGTGTATGAAGGATTAGGTCTTATCTCTACTTCAGTGCCTGCCCCAGCGCTATGTGCTCCTTCCAGGAAGCCAAGTTCCACCCTGTAAAGACACCCGCTTTGTGCTTACATGTCTGTGTAAGTCCTTAGAACGCACAATGTGATGGAAGCATTGTCCACTGTGCTCTCCCAGGTGATGATCCCATCCCTCCTGGCCTTTGGAGTCTCTAGTCTGTTCCTACTGTATCTTTCATGGCTGCTGTGGGGGGTCCCTGCATGTGTTAAGGCCGGCAGGGAAACAATCCAGATGAGGCGAGGATGAAACTAGGGTTCGGCTGGACTTCAGTTAGCCAGCGCTGCGCTGGGCCAAAACTGCTGGAGTCTGACACCGGGTGGTTTCCTTTTTACACATTTAAACAGTTACCACAACAGAGCTTCAGGTGTGGCTACATCGAGACTCCTAACACCTGCGACTTTTCCCACAAGAATGGGTTCTATTGACTGAGGACCAGGGCCCAGATAAGACCTAGGGAGGAGCAGTTTGTAATGAGCATAACAGCAAAGTCTTCTGCACAGTACAAGGGACCTCTTCCATGAGGATGAGTTCTACTGACCCACAGACAATGCTCAGGCGTCTGGGGTGTTTGCCAGGGCTGGCTTTACAGACTAGCAAAGCTGACCAGGTATTAACACATTCATTCACAGCCTTCTGGATGGAAAACAGGTGTCAATTTCTTCTGAAGAAAAAAGGTCTTCGTGTTTAAACAATTCTGATTTTTCTAATGCTTATCTGTGAGCTTGTGGCTACCTTTATCCTTCATCCACCCCACCTCCCTTAGTGTTACCTTTTAGTTATGTAGAAGGTCTGCCCGTAACAGATTTCTGCTGTTTGCCTTGCTGATACTTTCCAACTCACTCAGTTTTGAAGGAGAAAACCTACACTGATATTTACCTCATTCCTGAACTGGGCCAAGTCTGGTTAGAAGGCTCCGAGCAGCTGGGTGGCATTTGCTGCTCACCATGGCATTGTTACCTTCAGTACAGAGTCTACACCCAGGAGCGGCTCCGGATAAGCACTTGTCACAGGAATGAACAGAAGTGCTTGGTACAGTTTGGAGGCAACTGACCATAATAACCTCTTCTCCTACCCTGCCCAATAGCCCCTGCACAGGGATTCCCTTACCGGTTTGTGGATCCATTATAGCAGTAGTTGGGAAGGAAGTCAAAGTTCAGCTCCCAGAAGACATGCAGGGTGATGCGGCCGTAGGGGGCTGATACGTTATGATTGGCTTCTCGGAACATGGCGTCGAAGCTGTCTAGCGTCATGTGCTTACAGAGGAGTCGGTGGGTGAGCCGGTTAATCTCCAGCAGCCACTCTAGCTCCTGATGGAGAGAGAAACCGAGGCTGCTAAAGTGTTGCAGGTAACAAAACACATACGAGAGAAACCAAGGCTGCTAAAGCATTGCAGATCACACACACACACACACACACACACACACACTGCACACTCCTTACATCTAGGGGAGACCTCCCCAAGACAACCTCTTGACCTCCTATGTAATGACTAGAACCCCCTGTAGTTGTGCAGGACAATGTCCCCCTCTTCTGATACTGTAGGGACAGGATAGGGAGGGAAAGCTACATGCAACCTGAAGAAGATGTCTGACCACGTGCAAACACCATCTGCAGCCCTCTGGGTAGAGAACGTGTCTGTGTGATTTCTGGTTTCCTAATTGGTGAGGAAAAGTCCGTCTCTTAGTGTTAGTGTCATAAGGGTAATAATACTGAGTAATAATCCCAGTAGAGGTTACTTCTCTGTCCTGCAGGAAGCGCTAAACAGTTACTACCACCTACTTAGGGTTAGTTATTCAGCTGAAATATGACATTTTTTAGGTTTTTAGATGAACCCTCATCAAATTTTAACAGTGTTGTATGGTTTAACTTAATTAGTACGTTCTTATCATGTGTGTGTGTGTGTGTGTGTGTGTGTGTGTGTGTGTGTATGCCAGTACTGCTGTAGCCCCTATACATGTGAAAACTGAGGCTTTGAGAAGACGAAGAACTTGGCTTTGGATCCAGGAACTAGGCTCCAAGGTAACATTCTTAACCATGACCAAATTACCACTGGAAGGTGGGCAGTGGTGGTGCATGCCTTTAATCCCATCACTTGGAAGGCAGAAGTATGTGGAGCTCTGTGAGTTCGAGACCAGCCTGATCTACAGAATGTGTGTGTGTGCGTGCATGCGTGTGCATATCTGTGTGTGTGTGTGTGTGTGTGTGTGTGTGTGTGTGTGCGTGCATGTATGTGCTGGGGTTAGAATGCCTCCTCTTTTGGATTGCAGATCCTGCAAGGCACCTATAGTCTGTACTCAGCCCCACTGACCAGGAACTTGTGTGTGCCACAGGCTCTCACCATTTGGAGTTCCCCCTTCAGGAGAGGGTGAACTCAGAGTTCAGCTTTGCACAGAATGGGACGTGTGTTTGCTGGGAAAGGAAATGGTGAGGGGACCTTTCTGGCTGGGTTTCATTTCTTGTTCTCCAGCTTGTCAGGCATGACTGTTCAAAAGAACAAAGTCCTGATAGGGAGAAGAAAGCTCAAGTTCTAGGCTATGCTTTGACAAAGCCAGCTTTATAGAGTGGTACCGCTCTTCCTGTCACAGAGGGGAGAACCAGAGGCTCAGAGGGCCAACAACATGCACAAGGTCACACAAGGACTATAAAAAAAGCACTTGGGGCAGCATGCTGGGTCTTTGGATTCCAGATCACGAGTCCTTGATCTCTTTGACACAGCTGCCTGGAGAGATGCAAGCGGTTGGAGGTCCTTTGGAAGGAGAATGTGATATAAAGCCAGGCTTCATAGTCTAAAATCATATTGGGATGGCATGGGCCAGCTCTCCCAGGGAACTCAGTGAGTCACTGGCCACAGAGCCCCCTGCCCTGCCCCATGCCCCCAGGACCTGACAAGTCCACTTTAGTAGGGTCGTCATGGCCTCAACCTCCCCTTCTGACACTGTAGCTTGTGCTCTGGAACTCAGACTGCACGGCTTTAAAGTGGGGATGCAGACAAAAACTGCCAACACTAACAGCAATGGGGTTGAGAAGGCCAAGAAAGGGGGACTAACAGGAGTGGAAAAGGCCATACTAGAGGCAGAGTGGAGAAGCCCATCACCCAGGGCTGGTCCTGGCATCATGACAACTACCTAGTTGTTGCCGTGCTACAATGGGCTAGGGGTGGCAGACCCTACATGTTCTAAAAGAATGCTAAAACTTGGATTTCGGCCGTGGAGTGGTGGCAGTTAGAAAAACATTCCTGGTCTCTGTACCTAGAGGAAAATGAAGGACGGAGCACAGACTCAGCTCTCTGCTTCCACCTCTTGGGCTGAGCCGGCTCTGCTGTCTTTGTTTCCATTTGCCGAGGACGTGGTAAGACGGCAAACAAATTTGAACTGTAACTGGCTTCATTTCTAAGATCACTGAGCCCTCTTAGCACACTGTGTGGGGTACCCTGTTTGGGGGAAGTTAACGGGAGCTGAGGAACAAGCTTGTCCTATGGTTCTAAGATTTAAAGTTTCATAAACTCATGTTAGTGTTAAAGGGTAGACACGAGGAGACAGTACTCAACTCTGCTCGTGCTGGGGCTGCGACACCAAAGCAAGATGGGAAAATAAGACAGCCAGATGGGCAATTTTGAAGAACCAGCGGACAGAGAGGGGATTGAGGAGGAGGGGCGGCTAACCACAGGAGACCACAACTCTGAGAGGTCAGGGAGGTGACAGTAGGAATCTGGGAATTAAACACAGCAGGGGCTGGCGGGCCTATGGGGCTGACTACAAGTTCAGGAGAACTGGACCTGCTTAACTGAGTCTAGTCAGAGCCAGGCAACCATTGCCATCTGGGAAGGCTCGTCCGGTGCTGTGAGAGGTCCTGGAATTTTACTTGAATGCTTCCAAAGGTTACACAAAATTTCAAGACCACCAGCAGCCAAAAGAAAGCACAGCCCGCAGCCTGTGGCTTCAGCATCTCACTGAGACTCCCTTCTTAGCCCGCTGCATAACGAGGGGACTGACTCCCCACGTCACTGCCATGCCTATCTTTCCACACGTGGTGACTTCCGCATTTTACAACCGTTTCGAAGGCGGAGGGCAAGGGCACATTCCTTAGTTTGTTTCTGCCCTTGCTGGGAGGTGGAGGCTGTAGCCAAGGCTCACAGGAACCACGCCTACCCACAAGGAGAGAGCCTCCCTAGGGGGTCCTTCCTAGGCCTCCTGGGAAGAGGATGTTCTGGGTGGGAATCACTGCCTCATCTGATTAACAAGGGCTTTCACGAGGTGGGCACTCCTTGGGCTTCCCACAGGTCAGGGAACCCTGATTGCTCTTCGAGCAGATGAGGGAGGGGGAATTGATCGGGGGAGGGGGAGGGAAATGGGAAGCGGTTGTGGGGACGAGGCAGAAATCCTTAATAAATAAATAAATTTAAAAAAAAAAAAAAAAAAAAACAAGGGCTTTCACTGCGTGTTTTCATTTTGTTCCAGCCAAGAGAACATTCAGTGTCTTCCAGGGAGTGGGAGGTGGCCACGGACACCCGCCCCACCCCCCAGACATGCTCATGAGTGGGAAACAGAAATGCACGGATGAACAAAAGAGGAGGAACTCCAACTCCCACCTCTTGAGAGATAAGCACTGAGGATGTCCTAACATGCACAACACAAAACTGTATCTCCCAAGACAGAGGCGGCTAAGTGATTGATTTCAGGAATGTGAACTAGTCTACATTTTCCTACGTTACTCAAGACTCAGGGGAGTAACTGGGGCATGTCCTGCTAACAGATGGGGTAGATAGTCCCTCCTCCCCTGAGCCCCAGAGAACACAGCAGCCCCATTATAGTTCTTTTTCTCCTTGGAAAAAAAAAAAAGCTTTTACTTATTACATGTTTAGCAAGAACTAGGACTCATCCCAAATTCTTTCCTGGTGAGTTCCTTCTGTGGCCTTCCAATGACTCTGAAGTTAACATCTTCACTTTAGTGGCGAGGAAACAGGCTTCATGAAGATATATATATATATATATATATATATATATATATATATATATATAACCTGCCCAAGGTCACAGAGCTAGTGACTATCAGCGACAGGACTGGGAGTATAATTCTGTCTGAGTCTGCTGTTCTAGTCCAGTGCCCTCTATGCTACCTCTTGGAGGAAAACAAAGTTGACAGGGGGCAATTCCAACTACTGTTTTCTAGAAGGGGACAGGTTTATTCCTGACTGGGCAACAGAGATAGATGCAAAATGAAAACACAGGGTGGTATTCAAAGCCATTCATCATTTCATGATGGAGATGCGGCAGAACAACCAAACAACTATAAGGTCCTTCTAGGCCCTCAATTAGTACATGCTCAAGTGACCTTGTGTTACTCTCTCTAGCCTATGGAAACTCTGCCTGCTTGCTCTGCTCTGTAGAGCCTAAGGACATAGCCAAACAGGGATGGTCATCTCTGATGGCAAGGAAATCCTCCTCCAAGCCTCCATGCCTGTCAGTCCATACGGATGGTAAAATCGCTCCCAGCCTAGTCACGCCTTTTTTTCCCCAGTTGCTATGGCCAGGGGTGAAAGACATCCCCTGCTTCTCTTGAACTGGCCCAGAAGAGCCCCAACTCTTTCCAACTAGGCATCAATCTGAGGCATCCTTGAGCGGAAAGCCTGCAGGCTCCCAGGGTCTTACCACAATCGAAGTCAGGTCCTCACTCTCAAAGCGGCTGATGGCCTGGTCCAACGATTTGTACATGGCAGCGGAAATGCGCTGGGTGATGAGTCTGTTCAAGTCAATGGATCGACCCAACAGCTGAAGGGCAGAGGGAGGTGGGGCGGGGGAGAGAGAGTTACTTGCTAGCTACACAGATATCTGACAACTCAACACAATGTACTGGTAAGAAACTGTACTAAAGTGATAAGGGGCATCGCTGGGACAAGGGATGGCTGTATACAGAACATAGATGGCATCATGAAATATCTTAAAATGGTAATTCTAGTTAATCTTTAATCTCTGTGTATATTATATGTACGTGTGGTATATGTATAACGGGTAGGATGCTCGTGGGAGTGTGGACATGAGCATGCCACAGCGTTGTGTGTGTGTGTGTGTATGTGTGTATGTGGAGGCGAGAGGACAATCGTGGGTATTGTCCTTATCCCGCACTTTGTGTCAGGGCAGGGTCTCTTGTTAGCTGCCTGAGCATGCCAGGTTTACTGGCCCTCAGACTGCTAGAGATTTCTCCATCTCCAGTCCTATGGTGATAGTGCTGGAATTAGAGATGCTAGCTACTGTAGCTAGCTTTGCATTAGTTCTGGGGATCTGACCGCAGGCCCTCACTTCTCTGAGCCATCTCCCCAGCCCCTCTGTTTTGATTTTATAAGAGAAGTCCTTGCTCTTGGGTCATACCGGCTGGTGAAGTGTCAAAACAACTGCAATTGTTCTTAAAAATGTAAGAGAAAATGTATGTATAATAACACACGTGCATTATTTATACACATGACCACTCTAACATATATGAGAGAAGATACATACATGAGAAAGAGAAAATGGAACTCAATATAGTGAAACACTCTTCGCACGAATCCGGCTAGACTGGAGACGAGCACCTTACTATTCTGACTTCTCTGAAGGCTTCACACAAAACCCGCTGAGGTAAAACACAACTCATTCTGTGGGAAGAGGCTTGGGGAAAGCTCCGACCTCTGGTAAATGCTTCTGTTGACACCCTAGCTTCAACCCTGAGGTTCATTTTGTGTCTTCCCGCTGTTCAATTTGGAGTTTCCAGGGAGCAGAAGCCACCTTAGCAATGTGTGCCCTCATGGGAGTGATTTTAAAAGCAAGCATATGAAGAGCTGATTAAAGGGTAGGAAAATATAGCTTAAGATAATTTCCACTGGGATCCACACGGATATTACTGCAGATGTTATAACCATTTACTGATCACCCGCTGTGTTCACTCCACTTTGCTAGGTATTAAGAGATTATTACTCTTCGAGCATTATTTATCATAGGGTAAGTTTCCTACTAACTGATTAAGGTCCCACAGGGGGAGCCTGTGGCTAATTCTGGCTGCGTTGCAATTGGTGATGTTCATCTACTCAGCCTTGTTTCTTCTCTCCTGTGACTGGACACTGGCCATGGATGTCCAGGGAGTGCAACAGAACCATGTTCATCTCAGCATCTTCTTGGCCTCAGCTCTGGTCCTTCACAGAGATCAAGGACCACAAAGCAACCACACAGATGCTATGGCACACAGACTGTTCTGCTACAGGTTTGGCCACCAGCAGGGAGGGCTCGGATCTGTGGTGGTCCCTGTTAGGATTTTCTAGCTCAGATTAGCATTCTTAAACAGAGCTATATGTCCTTGTCCCCAGCAGCGTTTCTTCCACATCTGGGGACAAACGTGAACAGAAGCTACTGCATAAAAACACACCAGTTTCTAACCCACATTTAGTTTGACTCACTTCATTTAAAAGGGTTGCAGCCCTCTTCACTTATTTCAAGGGTGGGTCTGCCTGTCTCTGTGAGATAGTGCTCATGAGGGAAGGGGATGACTCAGGATGGCGGGTGGAGAGGAGCCAGGAAGTCTAAAGCTTGCACCAAAGGATGCTCACTACCGTTTGAAAGGATCTGAGGCTGCTGTGCCTGGGTGCAGACACAAGGCAGATGGGGAAGTCCACACCATCTCCTCAGAGTCTGTTCCTCCCCAGTCCTCCCCATCACGGCTTTCTCCCTCTGTACCTGGACATGTCTCTGTTTTAGCAGCGTCTCGTAGCGGTTGGAAGGTGGGTACGGAATGATCACCCCATAGTTCTTACATTCAGCTCGGAAACGTTTATCCAGCAGGACACTGGAAGGGAGTAACACGAAACAGCAGCACTGAACATGGTGGCAGATGGTTTCTCAACAGCCCGGCCACATCTACGTCAGACCACGGGGTCCACCCATGAAATGTGACCTTAAATATCTCAAACGTAACTGTGTCTGCTCTGGACACGGTTCCCCAGAATTCTTTCCAGCCACAGACGCTCAATGTGTGACATGGGATTTCTAAGTTAAAGATGGGCAACCCAGGGTGGAGATGTTAGTCTTTCCTTCACTTATGACGAAAACAATTGAGTTCATCCTTGGGTATATCCCAGGGAAATTCTAGGGACCAGGAAAATTCAAGGTCCTTCCTGTCTTCAAGGTACTGACTTTCCAGTGAAGAGATTGACAGAGCAAGCAGGGAAAAAAAACAAATGGTTTGCAATAGGAATCATGTGCTCAGTGTGTCTCCTTCACCAGGCAACACAGACATACATACACACACATACTCATGCAAACACATATACACACATCAGATACACAGCTACACACACACACACTCACACAGACATTCATGCACATGGACACATGCACATGCCCATATATGCAGACACCTATGGTTATATTTAGTGTCGCTGTAATCCTATATTCAGGTGTACTATTTTCATCCTCCACACTGAGGCACAGGTTGTAGTACTTTGAAAACAATAAAACAGGATCATTTGGAGTGAGCAATTATGGGAAGTCTTTGCACGGCGGTTTTGTGGGCCAGAGATCGGTTGGTAACGACACGGCAAGGTTATCTCACACACAGTGGTCTGTCTGAGATAAAGGGAAGAAGGTTTTGGGAAAAACACACTCATTACACCAGTCTACAGGCCAGATCGTGTGGAACCACAGGGCCCTCACAGAGAGAGGCAGGTTGGAGAGATGAGCTGGAAGCCAGTTAAGGTTTTAAGTGGGAAAGAGATGTATTTAAACTTGCACTGTCCAAAGCAGCAGCCACCAGTCCCAGTGCCTATGGAAGGCCTCAAATGAGGCGGGCTCAAACTGGGATCCATTGCCACATGCACACCAGGTTTAGGAGGTCTCGGAGAAAACAGGGAGATCTCTTTAATCATATTTACACTGACTCCACGTTAAAATTTTAGTGGCTTTGGTTTGTTGAATTAAATAAAACATATTATTAAAATGCCAGCTGTTGCTTTCCCTCATTAAAATATGGTTGATAGACTTCGTTGACTTCCCATGAGGAATGGATGGGGAGTGGGGTGGGGTGAAAGTGGGGAAGAGGGGGTAGTAGGAGGAGGGAGAGAGAGGAACTAGGATTGGCACGTAAAATAAAAACAATTGTTTAGAAAAATAAAATAAATAAAAAATATGGCTGCTAAAACCCTAAAGACAGCAGAGGTGGCTGCCATCTGTGGTGGCATTTTATGTCAGGTGGGCGGGGTTAGCATGTTGTTACCCTTTCTGCCTAGTGCTTTCTCTGAATTTCCCAGCTCCTCTCAATTTCCACCCCTTTGAAAAGCATTCATCTTGCAGGGAAGGTTGTTGAGGACTATTTTCAAATGGGGATATATATTTAAAGACTCTCTTTATTTTCTCTCTCTCTCTCTCTCTCTCTCGTGTGTGTGTGTTTGCCTGTGGAGGCCAACAGGGCAATAGATGCACCTGGAGTTAGAGGTAGTGGTGATCTACTTGTTCTGGGTACTGGGAATTGAACTTGGGTCCTCTGGAAGACTACCAAGAGCCCTTAACCACTGAGGCATCTCTTCAGCTCCCAAGATGGGGAGAATTTATAACCTGAGTATAGAGTGTCTCCAGAATGTGACATTCCTGGGCTAGTTTCCACAGACAACATCAGCATACTCAGGGCCGGCACTGTCTTAGAAATGCTGCCTCCCCTGCTGTCGCTACCTCCTACCTGATCGGCTCACACCTATTAAGCAACTACTTAGTGATGGATGTCCCTCTGTGCTTTCTATCTGCTTATCACTTAGGATTCATTCTCTTTAGTCAGTGCAGCTCCTGTGCCCATCTTCTCGTGTACAGTGCATGTCAACTCCTATCTGAAATGTGTCAAGCCTGTCAAAGCAAAATGGAGCCAGTCACTTCCGTGGGGCAGGGGGAAGAAGCAACTGAGGTGGGGACTTGCCCTTAGGATTGCTGGTTAGTCCAACTGGACTTCCATCAAGAACCATGATTCTTATATAAACATATTTTCTTTCATGATAACACCATTGCAAAGATTTTAAAACCCAGGAATTCCTTGGGGATATGGGGGTGGGATGGGGGGAGTTAAAACAGTATCATCCAGGAAATACTGATAACCCTATAAACCTAAGGCATCTCCAACTGAAACTTCTGCACACACGTCCATCCTTACACACCTAAAAATGCATTCTCCGTGGGTTAATATTATCAGAGTGAAGTTTAAAAATAAAGATGAAGTCAAGCCGCCACCGTGCATACGAAACCACTTTGTGGCAGTGTATCGCTCTCTGGCATCTTCAAGGCTTATGGTGCCCGGGTACGCGACACGCCCTCTAGTGGCCTGGATATGCCACTGCATGAAGTAACTAGCTGCCGGATGCTGGAATGTAAGCTATTATTTTTGTACTACCTCCACCAAGGCTTTGACCAGAAGTTCCCTTTGCCTGCACATTCTGGACCCGTCCTTCACCTGTTTCACTCAACTCCCTAGACACGGCTTCCTTAAGATGGTCTCAACCAGCTCAGGTTTATCTACCATATATTCATGAACTTCCCTCAGTTCTCATCACCCTCTGTCCTCCCATTGAACCGCAGACCTCGTGAACTTTGTACACTATCTACCTGCTCTCCCTTACAATGTGTTTCGATGCCTGGACCCCTGGAAAGTGCTCGATCCCCCATAAGTGCTGAGCAAGGGAGAAGAAGGAATCCCGTCTTCCGGGCAGCAGGCTGATGAAAAGATGCTACTCAGCCTACAGTCCCTTACCTGCCGGCCATGGCTTTGTAGTAGGCAAAGATCTGGTCTGCCAGCTTGTAGACAAACTGATCAAAACACAGGTTCACCTGGTGAAGAGAAAGCGGGGGGGGGGGGGGGGGGGTCAGCGGTTCCTGTCTGGATTAACCGCGGGAAGTCGGGAGGGCACCAGGGCAGACTGAAGTGCATTCTGGGGCAGCATGGCCGCTTTGACAGAGGGGATAAAGGAGTAAGCATCTGTGGCCATGCAGAAGTGAGGAGTTTGGCCCCTTGCTTTCAGTGTCTTCAGTTAGTTACTGGAAGAGCCAAAGTTTAAAAGGACCCAGGAACCAACGTCCTCATTGCGCCCCCTGCTTGGTCAGGGACCACAAACGAAAGCTCTTTCTCTCGGGCCATGAATACCCCTCAGCGGCCTGTTAACCCAAAGACTTTCTTGTCTGCTCCATGCATTTGATTTTCCTTTCTCTGCAGAGTTAATTTGGGGAATGCCCTTAGAAATAGAAAAGCCCCTTTCTTCAAGTTTTCCTTAAAATCCCTCTGGTTTTTCATGTACAAAGTCTTCCCGACTCACAGGAGACTATGAAGTCGGGAGGGAAGACAAGGTCACACCCACCATGGAGCATCAGAGCCACATCTTCCGTGAATGACCAGAGAAGAAAGTGGCCAAAGTGGGACTTGAAAGAGACCAGGGCTCTGGTACCAGCAGGGCGGCAGACAGAGGGAGGGGAGGGGCTTGATCTTTGATTCCTTTCTACCAAGTTTCTAAGATGATGTCTTTATCGAAAGGTTTCTGTGCCTATTATTTGATACCCACTATATCACACAGAACAAAACCCACCGAGGGTTCTGTACATGATACTGGCTTTACACCCAAGGTGCTGGCTTCAACCCACGGTGCTGGCTTCATAGTCAGATAACTGAGGCCTCCTGCCTGGGCCTCTGAACCTCATGATCCTCAGTGTACCCTCTAGCAGTGAGGGATCTAGAGGGTCAAAGTAGGAGTGCTCATTTAGACCCCACGGTCCCTTTCTAGAACCAACTCCAGATATTCGCAGCCCCTCCAGAGACCCCATGGTCTTCTTCAGAGCTCATGACCAGCCTCAGGAGGAGTTTGATGACATCACTCGCAAGCCAAAGTGTATATGCACATGAAGTGCACATGAAGCCCCGCATGGTAGATACACAGACTAGGGATGAGGAACAAAGGAGTGAGCCATTGTACACTATTAAATTCTATAGCCACAGCAATCATGCATATTGCTCCCTGAAGTCACTGACATTCCCCCACCCCCCATTTGCGTTTATTTCTGGAGGACTGGCCAAGTTCAGCCTCTTGGGGACTGCAGGAATGAAGGCAGCATGTCACTTGCCTCGGCTTCAATCTCATCGTAGAGGAACTGCTTTTTGAACTTGGTGAGGGCATAGTAGGCGCTGTCGTTGTAGAGATCCAAGGGGTAGAGGACATACCTGGAAGGAACACAAGAAACATGGGGGTAAGTTACACTGGCCTGGAAAACACAAGAGGTATGGGCGGCGAGGCAGATGGTCTGGAACTGAAGACAACCTGCCACCCCTCCCTGTGTCCCCACACCTCCATTTAGGAAGGACTTGCTCTCCAGTCTGCACACAGATATTAGCAGTCCATGCTGCTAATGGATCCCCTAGTCTGAAAACCTTAGCCTAGGAGAGAACTTCTTGGTTCCTAGAGATGGTAATTTCCCCAGTATGGCTGTTATGAGAGGGACAAAGATAGGAAAAGCAGGTAGGTGAAGGCCTCATCTCTACTCAGGAGTTTCTTCTCTAAAGCTGAGAGGTCGGTGGCAAGTCAGCCTCCCACTCAACCCCAGGAGCTTCCTGTCCTAATCCTGCCTCTTACTCCATCATGGAAGGTTCTTTGGTTTCCAGGATATGGTCCGTGAGAATCCAGGGCATGGACATCTCAATAGGGAACTGGATGCGTCGGCCCATGGTTAACTCCAGGAAGAATTCTCGGAACCAGAGCTGGGAGAGGTCACAGCACTGCTGCAGGGCTTCTGGAAGAACAGGAGAGAGCCTTGGTTTAACAAAAAGTGCTCACCCGTCACGGCATTTGCTGTGCATTTGCTGTGCACTGGCTGCCACTGTGACTGACATCGGCATGCCAGGTGCGAAGCAGGCATGTCCCATACAACCCTTCCCTGATCTCACTGTCTTGTGCCTGAAGCCAGCTTAGTAGCATCCATGGTGAATAGCATCTGTCATCTTCTGACACAGGGCAAGTTATGGGGGAAGGGGTGGTGAGGTCTCAAAACTTCTGCCTTCCCACCATTTCCACTAACTCCCTCCAGAGTCATCCAAAAGGAGGGCTGATTTACATACAAACGGTGTTTTTAGAACACACAGTCAGTGCTCACTTTCAAGGAATCATGGCCCCTCATCTCCTGTATGTGATGATTCTGAAGCCCTTACTCTTTGGAGGTCTTGAAAGCCCACCTCAGGTCATTCTTTAACGGAGAAGCACTAAGACTCCCATGTCACTGGGGTCCTACTTGTCTTTACCCTGCTCCAGTTAACCCCTCAGTGCAGAGAAGAAGAGGACATGGGACTGAGGTGCAGCCTGGAAGCCTTCCTCAATGAGGAGCAATGGGTACAAGGGAGGTTAGAGCCACTCTGACCAACAGAAGGCTGATCCAGAATATACTGTGCTACAGGCATGCGTCCCTGCATGAGTCCCCTTCCTAACCAGTCACAGGCTAATCCAGTGCACGCTGAGCTACAGGCTTGCACCCAGTATGATTCCCCTTCCTAACCAGCCACAGGGTGTTCTGGGGTATAGACAGGCATTCCAACATGATTCCCGCCTTTAACTAGCCATGACTGTGTACCAGACAAAGTCACTGGGTCAGAATGAGTTCAGCAGAGCCTGGCCTTTCCTACCTTCCCAAGCTGACAGAAAGGTTTTCCTTTCTGTTGTTTTTAAATTAATTCTTTTGCCCCTGGGAGCAGATTGTGCCCCGCTGTGGCTCATGATTCCATCGGTCTCCAGCTTCCTGCCCTACCGCCTTGGCTGTGGAGGAGGGTGGCTCACCGCTGATGTTGAGCAGGTGTGTGAAGAAAAAGGACTGCTTGTGGAAGTCCTCTATGGCGAGGACGATGGGCCCATCCAGGCTGCTCCTGAGGGTCTTCTTGGAGCCGCTCTTGTCTGCGATGAGCGACTCAAGCATGGTACGGACCATGTACAGCTTGGAAAGAAAGGGACAGAAGGTCAGGTGGCCCTCCGCGCTGAGGGACAAGTTGCCGTCCCTTCCTACCTTCCTGTTCTTCCTTCTGCTCTTAAAGAGAACTGTCTTAAGGAAGCACCGATTACGGCAGAGAAGCGGGTTTGGAGCTATGGAAACCTGGCCTCTCCCTGCCGTTCTGGGACCCAGCACATGCCAGGCAAGCATCCATCACTGGGCTTGCCACCTGCCCTTGTGAAAACCTCCGAGAGGCAGACTGACCAGCTTTGCCAAGTTCTCTGCCTAGGGTCCATAGCACCCCTAGGTGTACCGACAATGGCAGGTAGTTAAGGCCCGTGAAAGGCTCCTGCCTGCCCTGTTTAGCCAAGGGCATGGACATCCATGCCACTCTACAGTCACCCTCATGTCCCAGATGACCACGGTAACAGCATGGATGGGGCACTGAACCAGGAACCAAGAGAGCCAGGTTCAAAGCCAAGCACTGCCATTGACTCGCTGTGTGACCTTAGACGATGAGGCCTCCACTCTGGGCTCCAGTTGCCTCATCTAACAGGAAGGATTGGACCAGACAAGTTCTCAACCCAGTCTCTTTCAGCTCTAACTTTCGGAGGAGTTACGCAATGGACAAAGCTCAAAACAGCAACCCCCCCACCCCTCCTGTTTCTGGTCCTCAGTGTTTTAAACCTGTCAGTGAATGCTGGCGCCCTCTGGTGGCCCGGGCTGCACTGTACAGCCTTCCAGAGATTCTGGGTGGAGTGCAAGTCAACATCCATACTTACACAGGAGGCTACTAGACACCTAACCCCAGCTTACAGAGTGCCCTACATGCAAAGGGCCCAAGAGCAGCGGGGCTGTTCTTTCTGCTAATCTAGATTTTTTTTTTCCACATCATTTGTCTTTGAGTCTGAGGATTGGAAGGGGCCTTGAGGAGCCAGGCTAGTCTGTTCCTGCTGCCTCCCGCAGTAGGCACCCAAACCAACCCAGCCAGGCGGTGTTATACCAGGGATCGGCAGCCTCTTCGGCCCTGTGTACCACCAGTGGGGTGAAACAAAGCCCTCGGGGACCACTGGCAGGCCTAAGACACAGACAGGAGAGAAGGCAGAGGGGATGGGAGGGCAGGAGAGACAGGGAGGAGGGAGAGAGAGAAAGAGAGAGAGAGAGAGAAAAGCGAGAGGTATTGTATACAGTGGGAAAGCCACCACAACTGCAGGGGCCACACGTGACACGCTCCGACCTCCCAGCAACCACACTACTCTCTGCTGCTACTGGATGGGGCTAAGGTTCTCACCCACCATGGGCCTGGCAGTCACAGATCTGCATGCCATGCCACCCTGTGTAGGGTCCCCTCTGTGGGGAAGGAGTGACCGCTGTTGCTGGTTTTCTAGACGGCCCACCCTCTATGAACCTCTCTCTCTCTCTCTGAGTATCAAAGTACAATGCTAACGATGGCCTTGGAGTCCCCCAAAGAAAGGGAGCTATGGAGACTGGATTCACATCCAGTTCTAACTACTAGAAAAGTGGGTCCGTTCTGAACAGAGTCAATTCTTTAGCTAACTGTATTAACGGGCATTTACTCTACCAGGACAGGCTGCTACCCAACTCCATGAAATGCCTACACCTGCTACATTCTGAGGGCTGCCATGGAGCCCTGGGGTGGGCATCAGGAGACCTGGGTTCTTGTCTACCTGGCACTCGTCTTGTGACTTGGACAAGTCACTTCCCCTTTCTGGACCTCAGTTTCCCCGTCTGTAATAGGGGGAGGGGGAATCTACCTCTCAGCACTCATCCGCCTCTGGGGCTATCTGGGAGTCAACTAAATGAATCTGCATCTGAGCTATCAACCTACCCCAGGGGCACCTAGGGGTGGGGTTTAGTTTTCGGCAACTGTCCTGCAGTTCTCAAATTATCCACGAAGACACATGCCCTCTCTCTTGTCTTCTTGATGTCTACAGCCCCTCCATCCTTCTCTCCTTGCTCCTCTCAGGACTTAGAGAAATGCCTGAGAGCCATTCAGCCACACCAGGGCACTCAGAGTTAGAAAGGTTCCTGGCCTTCTAACAAAGACTTCAGAACTGTCTATAAAGGATCCTTTGGGGTGTCGCACATGCAGAAGACAGAATGTGTGCACGCTGGTCATTGGATACTGCAAAGCTAAGAGAAGTGATGATAACCTTGCCAAACACTCACCTGCCCCTGCTCAGCCCCAGCCCTGCCCAGACACGGACACACACAGAAGGAGGGGTCAGAAAGGGCCTCAGATGGCCCGCTTCAGGTGATCCAGAGCAGAGACGGGCTTGAAAGGTCCTATAAGGAGGAGCTTCCAGCTTGGGGCTTCTGGAGCCTGCAAGACCCTGACGGTTACAGTAAGACGCATCTGTTTTCAAATACCACAGAAAGTAGACCGGGAAATACCTTCTTCTACATCGGCAGTAAGGACTTAACTCCGCGAGTCACTCTTTTCCCCCCATGTAATTTTAAGTCTGTTCTGGGTGAACACAGACATCGTCTTATTGCGGAAGTTCCAGCTGGAAACTCAAGAGTATTTCTGACAACCAGACTGTGTCTGAGGGGAGGTGGCTTGCCAAGCTTGTGGGTTGTCTTTGGAAAGGGATGGAAAAACTAGCAAAGTGTCTTGTTGGTAACGTGAGCTCATCCCAAGTTTTCATTTTTAGAAGGTAAACAAGAGCTGAGAGAGGTTAAGCTGCTTGCCCAGAAACATACAGCAAGTCAGAGGCTGAACTTGTAAGTTCCCCTGCCAGGCTGCCCCTGTAGGTAAGGGGACTGCCGTCATTAGAATACACAGACCTATGCACGTGGGCTCCATGTCAGACCCCTCCTGCACTGCAGTATGTGAGCTTTACTGGGCTAGGAGATAGCTGGGGAGGTGAATATGTGCTACCACCATTGGTCAGACTAGACAACTGAGGCCCAGAGAGACCGTGTAACATGTCCAAGGTCACACAGGTGTCTAGGACTAGAACCCAGGTCTCCTGAATCTCTGGCCAGTGGTCTTCCTTCTACATCAAACAAGACATCAGGAAAAACCCAGAGCAGCTGTTTAACCCTGCCCTTCCTCACAAGGATCCCCATCCCACTACCCTGTAGTTCTCCAAGGACCCTTTCTTGGTCCAAATGGCCTGGAGTCAGGGGAGCCAGGCTGCCCGGGAACTGCTTACCTGTGTGCTGGAAGGTCCCACGGCACGGCGGGGCACCTTGATGTCAAAGCCGCCTTTGGGGTCCTTTTCCCCTCTCAAGCATGGGTCATTGGGGGGCTCTCGACCACCCTCCCAGTCACAGATGGTCTTGCGAATTGCCTGCAGGACACTGGTGAGGGAGGGGAGGGAGCTTAGCCCAGTTGTCTGCAAGGCTGTTTTCAGGCCCCAGAGGGTCTTGCTTAGCACCTCCTGCATTAGAGTTTCTGAGTGTTTGGGATGTACATTCAATCCTGGACCACTCAGGGATGCTCTTAGCAGTGCTCAGGTGCTTTCAACAAGAGGCTCCTGTGGCTTTGATGGCCATTGACTACCTAAGAATTCAGCTTTAAGCCACGTGGGGGACAGGAGGACAGGACCTGGGGGTGGGGAGAGGAGGAGGGAGCTACAGGAACATCTCATCAGCATCACTAGCTATATGGATCATATGGATCAAGTTTTAGAAAGAGCTTCTATGTATATAGCCCGTTCCCCCCCACACCATGTGTGCTGAAGTCTACACATGGATTATCTCATTTGAGCATCCTGTAGCCATGGATACGGTGGCCACCATGATCCCAATTTACAACCAAGGAACGGACACTCAGAGAACTCATTTGAATAATTCACTTTTAGACAGCAGTTGGTTTGAGTTCAAGTCCTGAGTGGAGCCTTGGCTGAACACCAATGCCCACTACCAGAGGGTCTCTTTGTTTAAAAGCCATGCTGGAAGGCGACCGAGCTAGGAGGCCCTCCCCTTCTAGCCCTGCATCCCTCAGTTCTGCAGCACCCTGAATGGGGCCATCTGAGGACCCACCTGATCAGAACATTCTTTTTCTTGCGCACAGCTTGCCGCAAGGGCTCACGCAGTGTCACCTGGGCGAAATCCTGCAGGGCCGCATAGATAGTGTTGCGGATGGCCTGGTTGAAGACACTCTCCATCCTCCCCATGAGCACCTGCAGGCCCTTGATCATGGCGATCACCTGGTGGGCATAGAACAAGGGTCAGCCCAGCTACCGTGTAGCAAGCCGTCTGCTCATTGTGCTTCTCCAGGCTGCGGGGAGCAGGCAGTGGGGGTGCCTAGAGTGTGAGGTCCACGCCTCTAAAACTGTCAGATCGCCACTAGGTAAGAAATGCCTGTAATGCCGGGCCAAGGACACCTGATGCCTCTGGCCTCAGACGTTCACAAGCACATTCTCTCTCATACACAAACACATAATTAAAACACTGGGATAAACGGATGGATAAAGAAGGGTTCAGAACCTGGGTTGGGGGGGAACCCTTGCAACTTAAGAGTAGGTAAAGATTTCTATGCTAGAACCCGCCATTCACATCCTGTGAAACAATAAGTTGAATAAACTGGGCGGTAGCAAACTATAAAACCAGCATGCCTCAAAAGGCTTTGCCAAGAAAACAAAGAGGCAAAGTCACCCCCATAGAGAAGCTACTTGCAACACACGCATGATGAAAGCCTTGTGGTGAAGACACAGAAAGGATTCTCACAACTTCATAATGAGAAGGCACAGACACAACCTTCAGAGATGGGCAAAAAGGCTTCCATAGAATCCACAGGAGGAGAGAAGAATGGCCACGATCATGTGAAAAGATACTTGGTGTCATCAGACTCTGGGAAATGAGACTCACAAGGTTAATGAGACTCACCTACTTGACCATTAGAATGGCCAAGATCACGAGTAAGGTGGCCACCAAAGGCCTCTGAGGGCACAGAACAATGGGACACTCAGGAGACCTGGCGACAATGTGAAATCCCCCTTGGTGTGGCTGTTGAAGGACCGTCTACACTGCGAGGGCTCTGGTAAAAAGTTAAAACTCAGCCAGGCTTCACTGGACAAGTCTGCAATGCTGAGACCTGCCTTGGATAGCAAGTGAGTTCAAGGACAACCTAAGACTCTCTCTCAACAAAAACCAACAGAAAAAAAAAAAAAACCAAAGCAAAAGCAGGCTGAGGGTGTAGCTCAGCTAGCCTTCAGTCTCCATCCCCACAGCACTAGGATTAAGGGTACGACCATATTCTACTTGATTACGTGGGTAATGGGGATCCGAACTTGGGTCCTCAAGCATGTGTAGCCAGTGCCACCTTACCAGTCCTCCTCATATATTTTTAATTTTTTAATTACTTCTTAGAAAATGTCATACCTGTATAAATTATGTACTAGCCGATTTTGTGTCAACTACATACAAGCTAGAGTCTCCAGAAAGGAAGGAACCTCAGCTGAGGAAATGTCTCCATGAGACTCAGCTGTAAGGCATTTTTTTCAATGTCTTATATCAGTGTGGGAGGGCCCAGTCCATTATGAATGGTGCCATCCCTAGGCTGGTGGTCCTGGGTTCTATAAAAAAAGCAGGCTATGTAAGCCAGGGGGAGCAAGCCAGTAAGTAGCACCCTTCCACAGCTTCTGCATCAGCTCCTGCCTCCAGATTCTACCCGTGTGAATTCCTGTCCTGACTTCCTTTGACAATGAACAGCAATATAGAAGTGTAAGCCAAATAAATCATTTTCTCCCCAACTTGCTTTGGTCATGGTGTTTCATCACAGCAACAGAAATCCTAACTGTGATACATTATATTTTGATTATATCCATTCCTATCCCACCCCAACCTTGCTCTGGCCCTTCCTTCCAATTTCAGATCATTCTTTCATAAGCACTTATTTATTCATCTACTTATTATATTTTAACCCAGTGAGTCCAATCGGTGCTGCCCATACACACATGGGCATGACATCATCCACTGGGGCTTGGGGGAACCAACCAACGGCCATGCTCCCCAAGAAAAAATGACTCTGACTACCCCAGCAACTAGCAACTGCTCCTCCACTAGGGGCAGGACCTCAGGAATCCTCCAGAGTCAATGCTGGAACTTGAAACTAGCTGGATCTATCATTTCTTAGCCACTTTTGACAGAGAACCACCTAGACGGGAAAAGTCAGAAAAGGTTAGCAAGTTAAAATGACAACATTTCTGGGTGATCAAAAGAACTCAGGAACTGCAGGGAGCTGCAGTCTGGGGTAGACGGGGAGAGCAGAGCATCGGCACCCACCTCCACAAAGGCAAACTTCTCTTCGCTGGTGTAATTGTAGCGTGTGGCTCTCTCGTATTCTTCCGCTGTACCCGGGCAATCCTTGTTGCAGAACTTGTCTGTGGGGTGAACCAACTTCCAAGAGTACTGGGGCGGGGGAGAAGAAAATCCAGTGTCCATCAGTTGAGGAAACGTAAGCAAATGACCAAGCCATCAGCACACTGATTAGATGCAGGGTGAGAGCACTGACTTATGCAGGATAGGGGTGGACCCAGAAAACACAATGTAAAAAGCTGTATGTAAAAACCACATGCTTGGAATCTATATATGGTGACCATCTAAAGTAAGGTAATGTACAGTGACAGAAAGAATACTGAGAGCTGAAGGGGCGGGGTGACAGATGTGGGGTTTTATTTTTAATGGTGTTTATGTGCATGTGTTTGTCTGTGGGATATGCATGTAAGTGTGGGTGCTCACAGAAGCCAGAGGCATCATCTCACCTGTGCTGGAGTTTACAGAGGCTGTAAGCCACCTAAGGTCAGGGCAGGGTCCTAGCCACCTCTCTGGGCCCAGGTGTGGTTTTATTTATTCATCTTTTTAAGTGATGAAAATATTAACTTAAGGTAATACAATTCCTTATTAATGAATAAGTATTAATGAATATACTTAAAATGTAGGCTTCAGTTGGGTAAGAGGTGTGGTACATGAAAGACAGAAGCCATGTGAACTAGGTCAGTAGGGGCTGAGGTCTCAGGACACCTACCACCTCCATGACATGGGCACTCCACTTGGATAGAAGTTGCAGGCCTCGAAGGGCCAGGTCAAAGAGCTCCCGGTACTCTTCATCTGACTTCTGGCTGTCCAGCCCTGAGCCTGTCACCACCTGAGGGACACAGAATTTCATACTCACCTCATGGTCCATGTGCCTGAGGCTCATGAGCATTACTTTTCAAATTCCCCTGGAAAATCTGTGCAATTATTATGCTCCCTTTGCTAGACAAACTTGTCTTTGACAGTTGTCTTGCTGAAGGTCATATGTCTTGTAAGTGGCTGAGGGTTTTGATTCAGGAGGTGTCATTTCAGATCCCCACTTAGCCTCACCCTACAGCCTTACAGCAAAGGCTATCTTGACTGTATTCATTATAGGAAGTGCAAACTAGTAAGTGACCTGAGATTTCACCCTTGAAATGATAATTAAATATAAGTATGTATGCTAGCAATGACTTTTATACAACACTGTGATTTCACAGGTGCTGTGGGAGAATGCTTTTGTACACTGTAAAGATTTGTCAGTCATATTAATTTAATAAAATACTGATTACAGGAAGTATAGGTGGGGCAACCAGACTAAGAGAATTCTGGAAAGAGGAAAGGCAAAGATGCAGTTGCCAACCAAATGCAGAGGAAGCAAGATGAGAATGTCTCACTGAGAAAAGGTACCAAGTCACGTGGCTAAACATAGACAAGAATTATGAATTAGTTCAAGTTGTAAGAGCTAGTTAATAATAAGCCTGAGCTAACAGGCCAAACAGTTTATAATTAGAATAAGCCCCTGTGTGTTTCTTTGGGACTAAACGGCTGCAGGACTGGGCAGAACAGAAACTTCCATCTACAAATGGCATTAAACATTCAGCAACTATATCCACACAAACCTGAGAGAGCTTGGGAACGGATTCTAGACACAAAAGAACAGAGTTAAGCACAGTTTCTGGGTAACGACATTTTTTTTTGGGGGGGGGTGAGATCTACTTGCTAGAGACAGGCAGAGACACAGCTCCTTTAACAGTGGCTTCTTGACTCAGCATTAATGGCAAAACCCTCCCAGCTCTTTTAAGAGGCTCTGTCACCGAACACTTAAATGGTGTTTATGAGCAGCCGGCAGCATGCTTCTTGGTGGTGGCATGGATCTGGAAACTCCACAGAGTTATGGCAATAAACATGGCTCCCACCTGTACCTCTGTCATTCTAGACTCTCAGGAAGCTAAGGAATGAGGTGGAACCCCATTTTGGTGGTGGAGTCACCAAAGCCACAGTTTTAATCCTAGCCATGTTACTTAGCAGATTAATGACTCATGTGTTCAGAAAAAGATAAATACAATAAAGACAGATTCAGATTAAAAAAAAACTCTTAAATGGTTTACAATCTGTTTAAAAATTAATGTAAGTTTGGGAGAGAAAAGAAAAAGGATAGACAAAGTCCTTTAGAAAGGAAAAAGTGTAGCTGGGTATGGTGGCATACACTTTTAATCCTGCACTTGGGAGGCAGAGGCAGGTGGATCTCTGTAAGTTAAAGGCCAGTCTGGTCTACAGAGTAAGTTTCAGAATAGCCTAAGATACACAGAGAATCCCTGTCTCAAAACACCAAAAAATAAAAATAAAAGAAATAGAGTTTTTTTAAAAAGCCACATAAAGATGGAAAATACACAGAGAATCTGGATACTGTTATTATGCTGTCTTTGAATTGTTTGAAAAAGGAGCAACAGCTGCTAAAACTTTTTTTAAAATTATAAATGCTGCTGGATTAATCCAACCTAAATATTTTGAAAGTGCTTTGACTTCAAATTTTAAATCAAAATATGCTACATTGAAAGATATGTTACATTGGAGAAGAGGTTTTGCTTTTGTTTTCACAGGAAATGAGCGGCTGTAGATTCATTCTGGGTTAAGAAAAATAAGGTTTGATCAAGGAAGACCCCCTTGAGAAATCCCCAATGGAAATGGATGGCCCAGATGATCCAACATTTCCGAGGACCTCTGTTGCAGTTTCTTCCGAGTTCAGCATCCAGAACAGCTTCAAGGATGCTGGCTGAGATTATCTAGCCTCACAGAATACTCCAGTTAGGACTTGACCATAATCCTAAATTTACTTTGGGTTCCTATAAGTTTACCAGCACCTCCAATCAGCAGGAAGCAGCCTAGAAAACTACACCCACATTCCCCTCTCCAAAAAATGAATTAGTTTTTGGGAATGTGGGTGTAGTTTTCTAGACTTTGTTTAGTGTATTGGTTACAAGTTGTCATGCATAATGGTCAGTAAAAAAGCTATACAAAGGAGATTAGATTCAGGGTCTTGTTTTGAGAAGAAAAAAAGGGGAACTGCTGTGGGAGAATGCTTTTGTACACTATAAAGATTTGTCACTCATATTGGTTTAATAAAACACTGATTGGCCAATAGCCAGGCAGGAAGTATAGGTGGGGCAACCAGATTAAGAGAAATCTAGAAAGAGGAAAGGCAGAGAATCAGTCACTATCCAGACGCAGAGGAAGTAAGATGAGAATGCCTCACTGAGAAAAGGTATCAAGTTACATGGCTAGACACAGACAAGAATTATGGGTTAATTTAAGTTGTAAGGGCTAGTTAATAATAAGCCTGAGCTAATAGGCCAAAGAGTTTATAATTAGAATAAGCCCCTGTGTGTTTCTTTGGGACTGAACAGCTGTGAGACCAGGCAGGACAGAAACTTCTGTCTACACATAGGACTCATGGTTTCATGTTCTATTTCACATACAGTGCTAATCACAGATCACTAAAATGATGTCATAGCCCACTGACTAGCTATGATGCACTAAATAAAAAGATCTGACACAAATGTCTGTATGTGTAATAGTCCATCCATGCCGTAAGTTCATAAGTATGGATATATATATATATATATATATATATATATATATATATATATATATATAGTGTGTGTGGATACACCCATATAATAATAAATATATTATTATATTATACACATGCACACAAATACCACATGAGTATATGCAGATAGTCATTAATGATGGACACTATCTCTGTAAATTTGTTTCCTCTATAATTTACCACAGTGACACTTGTAGCAATGTCTCCATTCCCTGCAGACCCCTCATGTTCCAGCTGAGTAGAGGTCTCTGTGTTTCTGTTTTAGCTCTCACATTGCAAGTCAACATCTTCTCTGTCGCCTACACAGTGTCAGGATGCCCACGTTTTTGTGCTTTTAGTTAACAATTTCAGACAAAGCTGATGTGCTGTGCTTCTGGTTCTCAACATTCCTGACACTGTGACCCTTTAATATCGTTCCTTATGTGGTGACCCCCCAACCGTAAAATTTTCATTGCTACTTCATAAATGTAATTTTGCTACTGTTATGAATTGTAATGTAAATATTTGTTTTCTGGTATTTTTTTGGTGACCCTTATGAAAGGACTGTTTGACCCCTAAAGGGGTCGTGACCCACAGGTTGAGAACCACTTTGCAATGCAGTGCTCTACATCCAGGAAAGCTGTGACAGACATGTTTAGAAATGCTTCCTTCAAACAGAAGTCATGGTACTGTTGGCCCTCAGTTAAATATCAATGAATCAACAGAAAATATCACAAAGGTATCTTTAGACAGAAATGGAGATAAAACAAGATTCTGTGCTGATTAAAAAAAAAAACAGTGTGGCAAGAGGCTCATGGGAATTCTGAATTTCTTTGTGGGCAATGGCTCATAATTTTTGAATTCTGAGTTTATGGAATAGCCTAGAGTCACCTTGGGAGGGTATCTCAATGAGTGACTCTCTACATTTGGTCAGTCTGTAGGTACATCCTTGAGGGATCATCTTAATTACGTTAATTGAAACAGGAAGAACCAGCCTACATCGGGAGGCACCATTCCCTAAACAGGAGGTACTGAATTGTGTATGAGTGCAGAATCTGAGCTGAACATAAGCAAGCAAGCCAGAGAGCAAGCATGCGTTCAATTCTTTCCACTCTAACTGTGGATGTGATGTGAACATGCTTCTCCTACCCAAGACAGATGGTGGTTAGACTCATGCCAGTAAACCACAGCCTTGTGGTAATACACATTAGTAGAAATGGGTTAATCAAGATGTGAGCGTTAGCCAGTGAGAGGCTAGAGCTAATGCACCAGGCAGTGTTTAAATGACTACAATTTGTGTGTTGTTATTTCGGGTGTAAAGCCAGCCATGCAGGAGCCAGGCAGGATGAAAAGCAGGCCTGCTTGCCTCATCACTACACCCTTTACTGTATTCCAGGCACAATACACACGCCGGGCACCCTACTGGTTATTTCAGTGAACCTTACAAGAGAATGCTATCATTACCTCTACTTAAAAGATGTCTGGATTATTTTTGATTGACACCATAACTGTAGATATCTATGGGACACGGTGTGAAGATTCAACACATGTATACACTATGTGACGGACAGATGGGCTACCTGGTGTATCTATCACCTCTGATGTCATTTCTTCACGTTGAGAACTGTAATTATCATCAACCACTGTCACTCTACTGTGTGAACACTGTAAGTGATTCCTCCTACTTGACTATTTTAAACCTGTATTTTTCTTAAATATTTTCTATTTAGTAAGAATACAGATACCCCATGAAAAAGGACGGAAGGAAACTCCTTTTCTTTCCTGACTGCACCTCTGTACCTGCTAATAATCCTCTTCGTCACTGTCCCTGCCACTCCCTCGTCAGGCATTACTGCATTCTTTCCATTTTGCAGATGAAGGGATCGAGGTCCAGAGTCCAAGCCTGGCTCTGAATCACTTCCAGCAAGCTCACTCTCCGCCTCTGGCTATGGCTCCCCCATCCCACACTGCCGGCTCTTCCTCAGTCTCTTTGGACTCTGCTGGCCCTGGACCAGCCACAGAACTCACCTCGCTGTTACTGTAGCGAGCTAGCTCTGAGATGAAACGGATGTGGTCATCCCGGATCTGAACCATCTGCTCGCAGATGTTGTACTGGGGGCTGATGCTGCTTTGCGTGCATGTCCACCTGGGGAGAAAACCACAGGCTTTGTGTGGGTCACAGCTCCAGGCACTGGCATGGGAGAGGCTCCTTTTGCACACTAGCTGCTCCTGGTCCTCAAACAACATAGCTGGCTCCCCTGGCTGGAACCAAAAGGTCAAGTGGCCATCTAAGCCCCAGAGCCACCAACGCAGGCACCATGGTTAGAAAGGAGAGTCCTGTCTCTGCCTTCTCCAGTTCCTACTGCAGGTGTCTCTGGACACCAGCACACAATACTTACCAGTTAAGTGAGAGAGCGAGGGCCAAGACCACAGACTCTCTGTGGTCACAAAAGGCTAGAATCACAGACGAGCAACCTCCCTGTCTTTCCCCAAAGGACCTGGTGACATGAATGTACCCACAGTGAAAGACCTTCTATCATTCTGAGAGGTGTGGTTGGTGTCTCCTCCCCACCTTGTCTTCCTTCCTTCTCTCTTCCTATTCTCCTTTCTCCTCTCCTGTCTTCTTTCCCATCCTTTGGAAAGATGTCATTAGGAAAACCTTCCTGAATCACAGAGGAAATAAGTGAGCAAACCCCCCTCACTCTCTGACCCTCTTCTTCTGTCCAGAACCAGTGGCCGGCAAGTAAACAGACCAAGAGAATGGGAAGCCAGGAGGCAGGTGCAGGGTTTGGACAGAGCTTAAATTCAAAAGAAGACGCAAAGGGACTCTCATAAGGAGTATTAGTGGCGATGCCCTCCCCTGGCTTAGCCTGCTGGATTTTCATTTTGAGCTACTTGTAGAGGGGACACAGTCGCTCAAATCTCTGACTTTCTGCCTGGTTACAAGCTCCTCCCTCTAAGACTGCCAGACATGGTCTGATTTCCCCCCAAGGACTCATTTCTGGGTCTCCAGGTAGACGTAGACTGTAGGTTGAGGACCCCTCTGCAGGTATCCTAAGCTTTTTAGAGACAAGGTTCCAATGTAGCTGAGGCAGGTCTCAAGCTTCTGATCCTCCTGCCTCCACCTCCCAACTGCTGGGATTTAAGTATTTGTACCATCCCTGGGCTCTGCTGATATCATTTGAATCTCAGCTACTAGGAGTGGCTGAGGCAAGAGAATCACAAATACAAGGTATTCTTGGGCTACAGACTGAGACCCTAATTCCAAATAACAAGTGAAAAGATAAGGAAGGCTGTAGCCCTTTGGTAGGGTGTCTGTCCAGCACGTGCAAGTCTTCGGTTCAATCACCAGCACTGCAAAACTAAGACACCGACCAGAAGGTGGCCAACACTGATCCACACAGATAAACCACAGTCTCTTGGTTGTAGGTAATATGCATGTGGATAGACCATCCTGTGTCTTCTAAGAGCAGAGGAATCAAGGCTGGAGCCCGATAACTATCCTGCACCCCCAGTAATCCTTCCTGGGAGCCATTAACTCACTCCTAGGCCTTAACATCGATTTCCTTGAACTATGATGTAGTAGATGACATAGGAGGAGGCCACCAACCCACGTCACAGCTGGAACCATCCAAACCACGCTGTTAACCACGTAATTATTGCACAGCCACAGAACCTGAGCAGACCTGAACCAGGGTGATGACTGTTGCCATCAGTAGACTCCGGCCGTCCCACTGAGGGGAGGGGGTTACCGCAGAACAGGACAAGGGGCGTGGCTATGCTCTAAGCCCTTTAGAGCCTGGCAGCAGAGGGCTGGTGCAAAAGGGCTCAGAGCATCCTCACTAGTCCCCTCCTGGCACTGCTGTTCTGTGGGAATCCACCTGCCCAGGGCTCTGGGGAGGGAGGAGGGACTGAAGTGGTCCCTCAGCTCCCTGCCCGGGCTGGGCATCCTCACAGGAGCCGAGAGACATTACGGCAGGCACTCACTTGGACTTGTTCTCTTCATAGTGAGCACTGGTCTTAATGTATCTGGCCAGCTCTATCTGCATGTCGCCGAAAAGGGGCACCACCTGCAGCTGCTGCAAAGGAAGCAAACAGAGCGCATGAGATGCCACAGGCAGGGCTGGGGCTGATGTACCGGCGGGGTGTAAGGCTTCAGTGCGCACCTGGGGTCAGAAGTTTTGTTTATTTCTTACGGTGTTACCATAAGGTCCTGGCATCCAGAGGAACCCCAGCCAGCATACAGGCCCTTCCCCTGCCTCCAACCAACTGTATACTTCAAGTAATTGACACTAGAGAGGCCAAGTGGCTTGTCCAGGTCACACAGAACAGATGAACCAGAGGACCAGATGGCTGGTCTCCTAGTACAGGTCCTTCCTATAGCTCAGAAGATTTCTACTGCTCCAAGCTGGACTAGGAGCAGGTGGCAGAGGGCTACTGCCTGGGGGTGGCCTTCCTGAGACTGTCCACCTGATAGCTAACATTAAAGTGCAGATATCTTCTGATCAAAGCCTAGGACATGTGGAAGGGAGGTTGCTGTCTACCTACATCTGTCTTTTCTCACCGGACACAGGACCAGGTGCTTCACAAACACTATTTCAGCTGAGCCTGGCTGCAAAGGCCTATAATCCCAGCTATTCCTGACACAAAGGCAAGAGGATCCTAAGCTCACAGGCTCCCTGGACAACACAGTGAGATTCTACCTTAAAATAAAAAGTGAAAAAGAAAGGCTGGGATGTGACTAGTAGTAGAAGACTTATTTAGCATTGGCAAGTCCCTGGATTTAATCCTAAGTACTACAAAACCCAGCTACCAAGCATCCACTATCCCCATCCACACGTGACCAAGTGGGGTCAGTACTGCCCCCGTCTCATTGTAATTGCATTGGGATTGACACATATGGAGAAGCTTAGTCTGCCCAGGAAGTCAGGCCAGATGGAGCAAGAGCTAGGAGAAGAATTCTCAGCCCCAGGAGGCCTAGTTTGTGCCGTTTCCAAAGCTGCTTAGACAGAGGGAGCAGAGGCAGATTAACCCCTGGTATAGGTAGGCCTGGTTCTGCCTGTCTTCCTGCTGGCTGATGACATTGCTGTCTCCCAACAGGAGGCCTGTTTTCACCTGGGACAGCTCTGGAGAAAAGCTAAGAAAGCAAGCCATGAGACCCCTCTGAGGACTCATGTTTCCTCTTAAACCTCAGTATAGCTGACCTCACCTAGTATCTTTCCACAAACAGCATCCCCCCCCCCCACCCCCAGGGCAGGGTTCCCATTTGTAGGACCCAGAGCTAGAGTAACTTCAGAATGAGAATTCGGTTCCAGATGTGACATGTCCTTGCTCAAACTCCAAAGTTAACATTTATCTGCAAGGTTTTTGTTTTTCAAGACAGGGTTTCTCTGTAGCTTTTGGAGCCTGTCCTGGAACTAGCTCTGTAGACCAGGCTGGCCTCGAACTCACAAAGATCTGCCTATCTCTGCCGCCCGAGTGCTGGGATTAAAGGTGTGTGCCACCACTGCCCAGCTTGTCTGTAAGTTTTCACTAGGAAGCTTTTGGGCCAAATGGTCAGATCTCAAAGGTTCAAATGGATTGAGCTTATGCAGAACATTGGTAAGTTATTGGGCCTAAATGGTGCAGCCAAGTAGCCTGTCATGGGCCCCAGAGTGGCTGCAATGGCAAACATGAAACCATTTAAAAGTTAGAGCTTAGAGAGTGGAGAAATAGCCCAGCCGTTAATGCACTTGCTGCTCTTTCAGAGGACCAGGGCTTGATGCCGGGTACCCACATGGCAGTTCACAACTATCTGTAACTCCAGTTCCAGGGTATCTAATGTCCTCTTCTGACCTCCATGGGCACTGCACACACATGGTGCAGACACGTATGCAGGTACAATATCCATATGCATAAGATAAAAGTAAATCTTTCACGAAAACACTCAGCCTTTAGAACCTCTTTCCATAAGCTCTGGGATGTTATGAAAATTAACACAGTTATTGTCTTCTAGGATGCAACTCTGTCTTTAGACGAAAGACTCCAGGAAAGGGGAAAAGAGCATGCAGGAAGACTTACAAGGCCTCCGGTGGAATCCCAGCCGAGTCTGGAGGCTGGGCATCACCCACATCTGGGCAGCAGACTGCTTTAGTGGGAGCAGCTGGAGCCTGTGCTCTTCTCTTCCTTTTCTTGAGGGTCTTTAGATGCCTATGAACCATCTCCACAGCTTTCTGGCTAATCCCTTCCTTTCCCCCAGGGGATCAAGACTCTAGCCACCCTGTCCCCCTGCCCAGCCCCAGCTCCATTTACTAACCTTAAAGAACTTATCGATTTTGCTAAGGTTGATTCTCTTCTTGGCATCCAGTTTGTAAATGTTACTGACATTTCCATCCATCAGGTAGAGGCCAAAGCCCATCACCTAGAATGAGAAAGACCCAAGACAAAACTATTACACTCCCAGAGCAGCTAACAAAACTAGAGGCCCTCGATGCATACATGCACACACATGTACATACATGTGCAGGCACAGAGATTCACTGGCATCTTGTAGAGACACACATGCTGCTTCAAAATCATATACACCTCCAAATTAATATAAGAAACATGGGCCTGACTTCAACAAGAAATGTAGCGTATTATTATAGTAGCCACTCTGGGCCAGGGGCTGTGGTTTAACAAGTGAGGTCTCAATTCCCACAAAACTCTTAGGTGCCACATATTATTTAAGGATGGAGAGCTGGAAACAGAGAGGGGTGAGAGATCTTGCCATAGTCACACGAGGGAGCTGCAGGGACTATCTGCAAAGGGGTTAGCTCAGGATCTGCCATTCAAATGTGCACTTACAGGTCCTACTAACACAGAAAGGACTTTGCTGTTTCCCAGATGTGCCAAGGCACAGACACTGTGACCATAAAATTCCCCACGCAAACAACAATGTAAAGGCTCCTGAGGAGTCATGGGGGACACTGTTTAAGAGCAAGTTTCTGCCTGAAGATGCTGAGACTCTTATTTTTTTCCTAGTCCCTTTAGATAAATGAGCAGCTGGAGGGTATGGTCAGCTGTGGAGACACAGGAAGTCACTCCTCACCGTGCCTTTATCACCTTGGCCCCTAAGGGAAGAAGCAGAGAACTGTCTCTGACAGCTGCTTCCTGCTTGGCGCATTCTGTCCTGCAGCATCAGCACCAGACTGTCTGTAAGGGTTTCTCACGCCCCCTGGTGGCACCCGAGCTCACTAACAAGCTGCAGAGAGCTGGGCCGCAGCACAAAACAATCCTGTTCAGGTCAGCTGTGGGAGAAAGGCTGGACAGGACCTAAGCAGCCAAGAGTAGGACAGGCAAAGCAACAGATTTCTTCTGTAATGACACCATCTTATGGCTGCGAAACATCCAAACACATTTGATTGCATGGGCTAGAAAGCCCAAATGAAGGCTGGTTGGTGAGAAGGCTCAGTGGGTAAAGGTGCTTGCTGCCAAGCCTGATGATCCAAGTTCAATCCCCAGGACCCACAAGGTGGAAGCAAAGAGCTGCCTCCCACAAGGTGTCCTTTGCCTTCCATATGAATACTGTGGTACATACGTGTTTTAAGACATACATAAATAAATCTTTACAATTCTACATGTAAGGCTGGATATGCTGGCACACATCTTTAATTCCAGCACTTGGGAGGCAGTGGCAGGTGGAGCTCCGTGAGTTCAAGGTCAGCTTGGTCTACATATTGAGTTCCAAGCTAGCCAGGGTTAAATTTTGTTGAGACCCGGTCTCAAAAACAAAACAAAACAAAAAAAACCCCAGAAAACTTATACATTCTATGTTATTAATTTTTTTGAAAATATAGAAGCACAGAAAAAAAATGATATACACCAACGTACTAAAAGTATTGTCCCTGAGTTGGGAGGGCGGGATTCCTGAATAATTTAGAGCCTCCACAATTATAACAACAACTTCATACTAAAAACTAAAAACCACTTTTTTTTTTTGCCATTTTGACAAAACATGGAGTCTTCCTTCCCTCTAAGCTAGGAACTTCTCTTTCAGAAGCTGAGCTCTGCAAATGTCGTGCTCAAGGCGCGGACTTCAGGGTTTTCAGTGCAGGCAAACCTTTAACCCCGGGAGATGCGTGAGGAAGAGCATCCCTGTAAAGTGGCTTCTTGGCGTCAACTAGTGATGGCACTGGAGAAACATGTGTGACGGCATTGTCAATGTGTTCATGGCGCACCAAAGGAAAGGGAAGATCCCAGGAAAGACTGGAGTCAGCGGTTGATAATTAAAAATATTCTTAAGAGGGGGCTGAGATGGCCCAGTCAGTCACATGTTTGTAGAACACGCATAAAACCTGAATTCAATCTCTAGCATCCATGTAAAACCCGGAAAGCTGGTGCACATGAGAAACCCTGTGCTGGTGGGGCGGAGTCAAGCTAGTTCCTGGGCTGCTGCCAATCATCCAGGCCTAATGGGTGAGCCCAGGGTCCCAGTGAGAGACCGTGTGTCAGAAAAGAATATGGAGTGAGAGCAATGACTCAGCGATTAAGAACAGTTACTACCCTTGCAGAGGACCTGAGTCTGGTGCCCTGCACCCGTGTTGGGCAGCTCACAATAGCCCTAACTCAGGTGCCAGGATATCCAAAACCACTGGTCTTCAACGGCACCTGCACTCAAGTGCACATACTCACATAAGCATATTTAAAATAAAATAAATAAATGTTTAGGAAAGATCCCGAGGAATGACACCTTCTTTGGTCTACACACACACACACACACACACACAAGTGTGAGGTGGGAAAGCTTTACCTTGAGCAGCATGTGCTTCTCGCTGGGTGTCAGGTACATCTTATTCTCATAGTAATCCACACAGATGTTAACAATGTCTGCCAGCAGTTCCTCGTAGCCTGGAATCACTTCCAATTGCTGGTGAAGACACTAAACAACAGCGCCACCTGCTGGTCAGGCAGAGCAAGCAACCTCTGACACCACCCAGAAAGCCCAGAGCTGGGCAGGATAAATGAGCACTTTGGTCTCAGTTGAGGTTCCAGGAGGAGGGAGCCTTAGAGACAACAGGTGCTGATACCTGACTCCCCCTTGATAGCTGGTAGTTTCTGCTCACCTTCTGCAGCCGGAAACCTAAGCCCTTGGGCTCCCATGTTAACCATGGTGGTTCTGGGGGTAGAGTGCACTCCTGGCAGCTCAGCTTTAGAGCAATCGGGCCTGCAGTAATTGCAGTTTGGTTTGGAGGGTGTGGACTTCTCTATGAGGTTTCTTCAGACAAAGGCAGGAAGAAGACCCACCCAGCGGAAGGGGTAACGGTAGGTAGGTATCTCCTTGCTGGCAGGACTCAGGAACATCAAAACACTTCCTGTTAAGGAGGGTTTCTCTGTAGCCCTGTTAGCAGGGTTTTCTCTGGGCCCCTACTGGATACTCAGTGGAGGGCATTGCTGGGATTCTCCACAGCCTTCTGCAGTGACCAAAAAAGGTTCTGCCACCTCCAGGCCTTTGAGATGAGGGAAATAAGTCTGAGAACTCCTGGGAGCATCAGGGTCCCGCTCTGGGTTGGCCTGGGTCCTGCAGAAACTCTTGCTGGTACTGAACTTACTGTGAGGCAGGTCCAGCTAGGACAGGAGCAGGGGGAGAGAAGGGCCAGAGGGTGCACTCAGGCAAACTGGCGGCGGTGACTCTAACTGTGCCTCTCCAGGCCCTTGGTCATGTTCTGGGGATTTTTTTTTTTTGTTCATCCTTTATTTTTCAATCTAGTTCTATGAGCTATATTCTCATATCAGTCCCAAGATAATACGCCCACTTTATGGATGAGTTAACTGCATCTGTGACTTGGCCTGAGATGTGATAATGGACCCAGGGTATGCTTGTTCTCAGCCTAGGATGTGGGGCCCACAGCCCTGCCCAGGAACCTTTCGGAGAACCGAACAGGGAGAGGTCACTGATGGTAGCTTTACTTTACTCTCATGAAGAGCAGGGAAACAAGTGTGGACGGAGTTAGTGTGCTGTCCCTTGGAGCCCTCTGAGCCTCAGGCCCCACCTTTGCTTCCTTGGCATACCAGGCAAGATGAACAGGGGACCTGTCCTCACCTGGGTGATCCTGTTGTGATTGGCCAGGAACATAGACAGGTTCTGAGATTCCTGAATGGACTGGGGGTCCGCCATCTTCCTTAGGAACTGTGCCGCTCTGAAACACAGGGAAGGAAGGGATAACCGGGTGCAGAGGAGTCTGCACCCACTCAGCCTAAGAGGGACACCATCCCCATGCCAAGAGGCTCTGAGCATTGCAGGTGGCTCCAAGGTCAAAGGAAAGTGTGTTTGGCCATCCTTTCTCAGGACAGCTGCTGGGAGTTAAAAGGCGTGAGAAAAGAAAACACAGCTGGAATCCTGGGACGGTTAATGGAAACCAGGAAGGAACACTGAGACCTTGAGCCTGGCCAGGACCTCCAGGGAAGCTGCATGGTGAGTCCTGCAGAGCAACCACAGGCAGGAAGCTTCATTTTTTTTTTTTTATGTGTTCTGTTCATTATAGAAAATCTCAACATCCTATTTTTGGGTTTGTTTGCAGTACCAGGGATCGGATCTAGGGCAAGCATGTACATGCTGGACAAGCACTTGACCTTTGAGCGACGTCCCCTACCTTTCTACCACTTCTCAGTTTTGAGAGTGTCCTGCTAAGTTTTCTCAGGCTGGTATCAAAATCACTCTATAGCCTAAACCTTGAACTGACGGAAACCATATTGTACTCCTGTGCTGCTAGGCCCAGCGGATGATTCTCCCGCCTTAGCCTTCCAAGTAACAAAAATGGAAGATCTGTCTCTACTTCAACACTCCCACGCACAGCCCTGCATGGGAGCGCAAGTGCCTCTAACCTAACCGGATGACAGACGGAAGGAGGAAGAACACAGACTGGTCTTAACCGTGTGTCCCGGCTTAACCCAGCAAGGCACAACTCATGTCACAACAGCTTGTGAGAATGGCGATAACACTCCTGCCCGCTGCAGGACACAGATGTTGGCTGCGGTCACGATGGAAGTGGTGGGCCACTGCAGGAAGTGTATGGGGAAGGATGCTGTGCTGGTGACCATCTGTGGCATCTGGAGTCAGCCTTGAGATGGGCTCTAACTATTTGGCAACCCCGGTTTCACATCTCACCCGGGAGAATTGTGAAATTCAATCTGCCATATTCTTTCTCTTGTTATCTTGAAACATGAGGAGGTGTGGCTCAGAGATAGGGTCGTCCTTTGCCAGTGATATGGACAACTCTTCCAGGAGATACGTACAGATGCTGTGTCCATCATCTGAGCCTCAACCAACTCTCAGGGATCTGTTGCTGTGCAGTGCTCCCTGTCTTTGACTGGCTGTATCTTAGTTTGAATGACCCCCTCCCAATTCCAGTCCTTGTCAACGATGACAAGGACCCCTAACTCAGCCATTGGCTCAGTTAGCCTCCACCACACTCAGTATCTGAGGGAGGGATCAGCAAGTTGGATTGATGGCAATCTTGGCTTGGATTTTTCAAACGTGGTTAGAAAGTGAGGAGTTCCTTCCTGAAAGGCTGGGGTTATACCATAGGCTAGCAGGAGGTCATAGCAGGGGCCTGCCTGACAAAGAAGCCCGCAGAGAGGCAGAGAAGTGGTGAAGAGATCTAGGCAACCGCCATGGCCGCTGGGGTAACTAGAGGAATGTCTGCTTGGGCTCTGTAGTTCTGGGACACAAGCTGTGGCTTTCTGTCTCTCACAGAAAGTGACAATGTGATTGCTTATGCTAATCTTCCTACCACAAGACAGGCACGCTGTTCCCCAGATGGGGAAGCAAGGACTGGATTCCATCTTGGGTGGTCAAGCCTGGCCAACATCAACTCTTCCGAAGCCATGGCTCAAAACCATCTTTTTCAAACCACCCTGGAATGGCAGCTGGGTTTCGGGACGGCAACTCTTACCAGGGAATAAGAAGGGTTGTGAGAAGGGTTCGGGGAGCAGGGAAGGTGCCTGACCTCTTGTAGGCAGAGTGGTCATTCTTGACGCTACACTTCATGTTCTTCAGCTCGTCCAAGACTGCGAACATGTTGATAAACTTGCCCAGGGTCAGCAGGTAGGCCTCCGAGACAAAGTCCTTCCTGCGCTCCGCATGGCACAGCCGCTTCACCTCGCTACAGAAGCGCTCGATGGCCTTGCGCTGGAGACAGAGAGGCAGTGGTGAGGATGGGGCAGGCAGGTGACGGGGAACCTCAGTGCACTCTAGGATAGGAGCAGTCAAGGCTGCCCTAGGGTCCCCATTAGAGTCAAGGTGGGGAAAGGAGGACACATCTGCCATGCCAGGCTGTCTTGTTCAGAGATGTCCCCATCTCCAAAGCTAACTTGAAAAGGTGCTGGGACCTGTCTGAAGTGACTTTATGTGGTGAATTATTCCAAAAACACATTTACCAGGAGGCATTGTGTACCCAGTGTGTGACACGCAGGGAGAGACAGAGGTTCATCCAACAAGCAACTGATAATTGAGCATCTACTGTATACCATAGAGCCATCCTAAGGGCTGAGTTTAAGCAGAAATCAAAATGAGAACAAAAACTGCTCCAAGGATCCTACACGTCAACTAAGTAATGGAAAACAAAATAAATTCTTTGCAGCGGAATACCCGATACAGAAGGAAATGAAGAAGGGATGGAGGTTGGGAAGGGCTCAAAAGAACTGTCCCTCTAGGGAGAAAGATCAAAATCTCCAAGAAGTAGCTTTTAGGGAAGTAATTTGAAAGAGAAGAAAGAGAGGAGTAAGTGAAGGAAGCATGAGCTGCCAGTGCAAAGGTCTTGAGGCATGTCGGGAGGGCAGAAGGAAGGACAGGGCTTGGCTCAAGCTGGACTGAGTGCAGGCAAGGAGCGAAGTCAACACTAGAGAGGCCAGGCCCTCTCAGAGGCTCTTCTGAGGGCAGGGCTTGGGGCTCCAGCAAGGTAGCATGGTGGCTGCAGAGGTGACAGCGGACTGTCGTTTCCTAAGTTGGAGTCACTAAGTGGCCCTCACTCCACTGACGGGAGTCTGCTTGTCCTGGTTTGCCTTCCAAGGCTGAAATAAACACCCTGACCAAAAGCAGCGTGGAGAAGAAAAGATCTACAGCCTACAGTCTACCCTGAAGGAAGTCAGGACAGGAACTCAAGACAAGAACCTAGAGGCAGGAACCAAAGCAGAGATACAGAGGGTCCAGAGCTTGGTCAGTGTGCTCTCTTATACAACCTAGGACCCTGCCAGCCCACAGTGATCTGGGCCCTCCCACACCAATCATTAATCAAGAAAATGCCCCCCCCCCGACTTGCCTACAGGGCAATCAGTAGAAGAAACTCAACAGTTGAGTTTCCTTCTTTCCATGTGACTCCAGCTTGTGTCAAGGTGACAGAAAACTAACTAGCACGCTACCTAAGAGAAAGACAAGAGTACACACACGCTCAGCTTTTGTTCCTAACAGACCCTCATCTATCCCCTAGTGGATGGATGAGTAAAATACGATGTTTGGATACAGTGACATGGTGTTCCACCATTAAAGAGAAACATAGATTCTGCCACCTGCTACAGTATAGAAACACCCCACGAGCTGCTAGGGGCCAGCCATGAAAAGTCATGTCCTGTATAATTTCATTGGTAGGAAAACGTCTAAAGAGCAAGGAAATCCGCAGAGATAAGAAGCAGTTCCGTAGTTGCCTGGGGCTGAAGGAGAGGGTGTTGGGGGTAGAACAGGATGATGGCTCAAGGGGTAAACACATTCTAGAACAGATTATATGATGAACACACAACTCTGTGAAGACACTAAAGCATGCTGGGCTGTTCACTCTACTTGCGTGAATCACTGGAGCAAATACTAAATCTCAAAAAAGTCTGTTACAGGGGCAGGAAAAGGAAACAAGAAGCTACTATAGTAATGGAGGGGTGGTGAGCGAGAGAGGAAATGGAAGAGGAAGAGGAAGGAAGGGAGAGGAGGAGGAAGAGAAGAACACTGGAAGGGAGGTGTGAAGAGAGGCAGGCGTATGTGCAGATATGAGCCTGCTCCCCTTACAGGACCTGCCGTGCCCTCCTGCCAGTCCCTCTCCCTCACAGGACAGACCAGGCCAGAGTCCAAGTCCAGTTGGGCTTTCCGCCATGGTGGAACTGTTTCCCACAGCCATGCTCACCATAATGGCGTGGTGATGGGATTTAGACTCACCATGGAACACCTGGGCGTGTCCATGAAGGATGTGTGTTTCCAGAAAGGTCTCACTGAACAAGGAAGACTTGCCCCGAATGTGTAAGTAGTGTGGTGTGACCCCATGGACTTGGGTCCCTCCTTCCTGACCAGGGCACAACCTGACCAGTGCCTAACGCGTCTTCCACCATGTTTTCACTGCCACCGTGAACTGTACCTTTTAACTGTGAGCCAAGTAAGTCTGGCCTTCCTTGAGGTTCCTGGAACTGCTTTATTAGGCATTTGACCCCAGCAGGGAAGAGAGGAACTAGCAGGGATGGCCACAGTGCTGCTGAGTGCTTGAAGCAAGCCTTGAGTTGCTGAGGAGTTTGGTTTTTAACTTATTGCTGTTTACACATGTGATCAATGGGCACAGTGCTGGGTACATGGCTGTAACCATTCTAGACCCTTCTGTCCATTCACACCCCTTGTTGGGAAGTTCTTCACTTCATATCCAGTTTCTGACAGCTCTTCTCTCTTGGACCTGCTTCCCAGAGACTTTAGGAAGTCAGGCCATCTATGATACGAACAACAGTTACAAAGCACTGTGTGCTGGCATGGCCCTGCTGGTACCTACAGATAGATCTCATTTACCCCTTCCACTATCCTGACAGGCCAGGCTTCACTTCCTGTGTGTGTGTGTGTGTGTGTGTGTGTGTGTGAGCTTCATTTTTGTATGTGCATGTGTGTCTCTGTGTATGTGTGTGTAGGCTTCATTTCTCGTTTGTGTGTGTGTGTGTAAGCTTCATTTTTGTGTGTGTGTGTGTCTCTGTGTATGTGTGTGTAGGCTTCATTTCTCATGTGTGTGTGAGTGTGTGTGTGTGTGTGTGTGTGTATTGTGTGCAGGCTTCATTTCCTCAGTGCTGGTATGGGTCACTGTGTGTGAGTATCTGTGTGTGTGTGAATGTGAGTCTGTATCTGTGTGTGTGAATTGTGTGTCTATGTGTGAGAGTGTGTATGAGTTTGAGTGTGTGTTTGTGTGTCTATGTGTGAGTATGCATGTGTCTATGTGTGAGTGCGTGTGTGTCTAAGTGTGAGTGTGTGTGTCTGTGTGTATGCGTGTGTGAAGTAATTCACACACAGTCAGACAACAGCAGAGCCAGGGTCTGACCTAGAACTGTTCCTTGCCCAGGCTGAGACACCTCCCCAGTGCAGTCACAGCTCTTGCCTGGATGCTGAGTACAGAGTGGATTCTAGCCAGAGTCAAGAGTCTACAAATGAAGCTCAGTCCCCCAAGTGGAACATTCCTTGCGTATGGCTTGTGCAGGCTACGTCGCCCACTGTGAGGTAAAGACTGGCTTTGAAGTGTCGGTCCTGCCACCCTCTCAGCTGCCACTGAGACCCCAGCAAGTAACAGGCTGCTCACACTTCCTGTGCTACCACCTAGACTTTTCTCGCCCCTGTTTGAACAACGGCTCTTTCAGAATGCCCGACTAGTCTCCGGCCATCCCCATACTCCTCTTCACAGCCTCTTCCCATCTCCACCTCCCAGCCATTTCCTACCCGGTGGCCAGACATCCTGAAACCTCAGGTCAGGACTCATCACCAAATCCAAACCTAAGCTCATCTCACTGAGTCCTGCTCCCTCCAGCCTCCCCTCGGAGCACTTCCTGTTCTCACCGGTCTTCAACCCACTCCCTTACTGTCCTCTATGTCTTGATCACAGCCATCCCCACCGGCCTGGGGCTCTGCCAGACCCTCTTCCTGGATCCCTTTCACCGTACCACCACACTCCTGCCTCTCTTGTGACCAGGTCATAGTTCCATGCGCTGTCCCTAAAGCGCCAACTATCTGTAGCGACTCCACAATCTACAACTGTTGGAAATCGTATTTCATGCATGGCCCTGACCGCGTCCTAAAAAACGACGGTGTATTTTTGAAGCTCCGTGCTCCAAGCATACCATACACATACTCACTAGGACACATCCTCCGTGGAGGTGGGGACACCTGCTGGCCTGGCTCACCCACGGGACTCTAGGTGGCTCTTAAAAATACTAGCCGGATGAGAAAAAAAATGACATGGCCCCGAAGTCTAGTATGTGGACAGTAGGGGTCTTTGTGAGTCTTCCGCTGTGGACCCCTCCCCCCCACACCCTGCCCCTGCTCACCTGGAAGTACATGAACTTCATGAGCTTGGTGACCTCTGGCTCCAGCACCTCCACGGTCTTCTCGTAGATCTCCACCCGGTTGGGCTGCTCATTGCACTTCACCTGTGAACGAGAGAGGCCAGGCCATCATCCAGGCTTCCAGCCGCTATCTCAGAACATGGCTAGCTGCTCACACACGGCACCTCGTGGTGGGTGATAACAGATATTGTCACCCTAGTGAGGGAGCTATAGAAGACTGACAGTCCCCAGAAGTGATCCCTGGAGATGGGCTGCTATACGAGCCAGCTGGCCCCAACACTGGGCCCTCCTCTGTTTCCGGCTGGTCTGCGCTCTTACAGTTAGTTATCCGCGTATCTACGGAGATCTGCAATGTCCTCTCCCCTCTCCTCATGCACAAAATGCTGAACATCTCTGCCCTTGGACAACAAGACGCTGAGCAGTTTCCCAGCCGCATCCAGGTTGATAACAGCTGACTGAAGCTGTACCGTCCAGAGACCCACTTCCCCCACCCAGTGTTTTTAGTCAGCGTATAATCATAGTACCGCATGGCGGATGCTCTTTGAGCACACACACCCCAAGCCTGACAAGATGGCTGGGCGTAGAGCGGGCGAGCACGCTATTTTCTTTCCCTTTAGACAGTGTCTCACTGCGAACCCGCACAGACCCGAAACTCAAGGTCTTCCTGACTCCTCCTATGTGTTGGGATTCCAGGTGAGTTCCACAGGCACTGGACAAGAACTAGCCTTCATGGTTATCAATGGCTCGGGAACTGACCGTGGGGTATTAAATGGGCAAGGGACACAGTCGTATACCACCACTACAGACATCAGAAGGACTAAGGGGGGGGGGTGTCTCTGGAGCAGCCATGGGAAGGTGGCCCCCACAGCTGGCAAGCAGAAAGGTTCAGTATGATTTGAGGCCTGTTTTATTTTTGTCTTTGCACTGCTGGGGAGAGAACCCAAGCCTTGGACCCCAAGACCTTGGATATGTTTATCAGTATTTGCCACTGAGTGACAACTCCAGTTTGGTCCCTTTTTCCAGGAAAGCCAAATTCTGAAGCTGGCCAGATGGTTCAGCAGAAAAACGCACTTCTTTTTGAGCCTGGATGGGGCCAGAACCAGTTCCTGTATGTTGTCCTCTGACAGCCACATGCATGCCATTGTGCATATATGCCCTCCCCCGAGAGAGTAAGTAAATGCAATAAAAATTTTTAAGAAAACCAGTTGTTTAAGAAAAACAAAATTAGGCTTAGAAAAAATATGAAACGTACAAAATTTGTAAATAGTTGTTTCTAAATATGAAGGTTAAAAGAGAGAATGGTACCTTCTGTTTACTTTATGTGTGTGGTTTACTGATTGTTACAATTAAATAAAGATATCAATGACAAATAAAATATCCATATTTTCCTTTTTTCCGTATTTTCAACAAGTCCAAGATAGTGTAAAAAGTGAGAAACAATATGGTTCTGTGGTAATGATATGGTTTTATAAAATATGTTCCTGCCAATAAGAAGACCCAGAGCAGTCTGAAGCAGAGTGTGTGCAGTGATCATGCTGTGGACGGACAGACAGACGTCGGTTTGGGTGGAGGAGTGAGGAGAGATTGTGTGCTACTTTAGACCCTTTGCAGTGGCCTGGGTGGAAGGCGGCAGATGCTGCTTGTGAAATAAAATATGTTGGGAAACTTTTCAAGACCCTGGGGCCTGGACCTTCTCAGTAGCATTATGGGGAGCTCTTTGGGTCAGCAGCCAAGATTTACCTCCTGTCACCCAGAAAACTCAGCCCTCTGGTTTAGGTTTGATTGGACTTGAGGGGCACTGATGCCCCCTGAAGGGCAAAAGCGGCATAGCAAGGATGGTCTCACCTGTGGGATGGCCCGGGAGCAGCTGCGCCAGGTGTACAGCATGACCGCATACTCGTGTCCCTCCTCTAGCATTTCATTCTGAAACGGCACGGCACTTTCATCAGGGAGGAATAACGCTAGGGCCCTCGGCTTCTCAAGGCTCTAGGGTGTGGTCTGTGGCTGGCAACAGCAGCATCAGCTGGGAGCTTGTTGACAAAGCAGGCTCTCAGGCTGGCTGAGCCTATGATTAAAAGCTATTTTCCACAGGGTGGTGATGCACACCTTTAATCCCAGCACTTGAGAGGCAGGCGGATCTCTGTGAGTATGAAGCCAGGCTGGTCTACAGAGCAAGTTCCGGGACAGCCAGGATTACACAGAGAAACCCTGTCTCGAAAAACAAAAAACAAAGAAGACCTATAACCCAGTGAAGCCCCCAGGTAACGCACATGCTCCTCCCATTTAAGACTGATCTGACATGAATTTCAATGAAAGCCGGACGAAAGGCCACATATTCTGTTTCCTTTAGATGAAATAGCTACAAGAGCCTTAAGTACAGACAGTGGTTGACGGGAACATGGGGAGAGAGGATCCAGGTGAGTTGCTAACAGTCTAGGGCACATGTACGGGTGATAGAATTCAAGGGCAGTGGCAGTAGTATATTGCGAATATGACTAAAATATTCACGTATATATTTGAAATGGCTTCCAGTTATATCAAGCATACCTCAAAAATATTAGGACAAAAAAATTAATACTATGCTTCCTTTCCTTATAAATGTTTGTATTGGGGGGGAAATGAATTTTAAAATTTAAAGCCCTTTATCATATTCACTTTATAAGACATTATTAGGGAAGAATACAATTTAATTTGGAGTTTGTTACTGAGTGTGATTCTATTCAAAAGCAATGGTTTCAATTCTTAATTTAGAACACCAGTCAGTAACATGCTGTCCCCAAGTTCAGAAACAATGAAGCCCAACTGTGGGCCTCCTGCTTTCTCTTCTGCTTGGGAACACGTGTCTAAAAGAGGAACTGACAGTAACGTAGAGAACACGTGGCCTCCAAAAGCCCACAGTAGGCACAATTTCATTGGGTGAACAGAGGTTATAGTAAGTATCTTCAGGTCTCAGGCTGTGTGTGTGTGTGTGTGTGTGTGTGTGTGTGTGTGTGTGTGCCTGAAGCAAGATGTGCACTCTGCCCTCTGGACAGTTCAGCTAAGGTTGTTATGTAACAAGTCTAGAATACAGAGCTCAAGATGTGCACTCTGCCCTCTGGACAGTTCAGCTAAGGTTGTTATGTAACAAGTCTAGAATACAGAGCTCAAGATGTGCACTCTGCCCTCTGGACAGTTCAGCTAAGGTTGTTATGTAACAAGTCCAGAATACAGAGCTCAAGATGTGCACTCTGCCCTCTGGACAGTTCAGCTAAGGTTGTTATGTAACAAGTCTAGAATACAGAGCTCAAGATGTGCACTCTGCCCTCTGGACAGTTCAGCTAAGGTTGTTATGTAACAAGTCTAGAATACAGAGCTCAAGATGTGCACTCTGCCCTCTGGACAGTTCAGCTAAGGTTGTTATGTAACAAGTCTAGAATACAGAGCTCAAGATGTGCACTCTGCCCTCTGGACAGTTCAGCTAAGGTTGTTATGTAACAAGTCTAGAATACAGAGCTCAAGATGTGCACTCTGCCCTCTGGACAGTTCAGCTAAGGTTGTTATGTAACAAGTCTAGAATACAGAGCTCAAGATGTGCACTCTGCCCTCTGGACAGTTCAGCTAAGGTTGTTATGTAACAAGTCTAGAATACAGAGCTCAAGATGTGCACTCTGCCCTCTGGACAGTTCAGCTAAGGTTGTTATGTAACAAGTCTAGAATACAGAGCTCAAGATGTGCACTCTGCCCTCTGGACAGTTCAGCTAAGGTTGTTATGTAACAAGTCTAGAATACAGAGCTCAAGATGGCATGGTGGCAAGAGCCCTGAATGGGGCCTTGAGAACCTAAAGTTTTTGGTTATAGGGCCATCTTTCATGTATGTATAAAATATATGTGTGTATATATAAATAAATATATAATACATCTATTTATTTTAGAGATATGTATCCCAGGTTACCCTTTCTAGGTAGCTGAGGATGACCTTGGACTTCTGATCCTCCTGTCTCTACTTTTCAAGGGCTAGGTTTCCAGATATTCACCACTACACCCCATTTATGTGGTGTTGGGGATCAAATTTAGGGCTTCGTAAATTCTACGCACTCTATCAACTAAACCAATTATGTAATTTCTCACAGCTGCATCAGAAAACAAATATAGTCATTGTTTAGCGCCATCCTGTCCCAGACTTGCCTCTCTGAGCCTGTGACCTGGTATTTCTGGGACACCTTGGTCTGCAGGGTTCCAGTTCCCTCTGCCCCAAAGACTCCTTCTACCAGGCGGAGTTGATTTCCAGTTTCTCTCATGAACCTGCTCATTACAGCTCCTGCCTAAGGCCACTACCCACTTCTCAGCCTTTCGTGCCTCTGGCGGCAATCATTTTCAGAAGCTCATCCAGAGTACCTGTTCCACTCGCATTCCACGAGCAGTTCACAGGTAAAGCATGGCTGAAGCGGAGTTCTGCTCCCCTCTCTCCCACAGTTGAAAACTGCCCACTGCTGTTGATTTAGTTTGTTCGCCTGTGATAGGGTCTCCAGTCCAAGCTAGCTTCAAGCTCCCCATGGAGCTGAGAAAGTGATCTTTAGCTTTTGATTCTCCTGCCTCCACCTCCCCACGGCTGGATCACAAGCATTTACCACACTAGGCCTGGTTTATTTGGTGCTGGATATCAAGCCAAGGCTTTGTGTGTTCTAGGCGGCTGCTGACACAGCTGAAACTGACCCACATCTCCAGCCTCTGGTCTGCACTTTCATTAAATGGATGAAAGCCCTCTGTTACAGGCTCAGCTGTGCCGCTCCTACTCCCCACACACCATCTCAAAGTTCCAGTCCTAACCCTGTACTTGAGACTGTGACTATTTCTAGTCGGTCCTTTTGAAAGGTGATGAAGCTCAGAGGATATCACGAGAGCAGACCCTCACACTCAATCTGACTGTCATCCTTATAAAGGGGGGGGGGCTGGCTTAGGTACACACTGAGACATCAGACACGCAGGAGTTCGTATGGAAAGAGCCAGGGTAGCCAAAGAGACAGCAGGAGAAATCACTCCTGCTGATCCTGGTCCAGGAGTACCACCCTCGAGGGCTGTGGGAGGGAAACACTTATTGTTTAAGCCACCTGGTCACAGTATTTTGCTATGGGAGCCTAGGTAGTAAATATGATCTCCAAGTATAGACTCCTTACCTTATTTTACATAAATACTACACACACACACACACACACACACACACACACACACACACACATTGGGCAGTCACTGAGAATTCTGTCTTTGCTTGTGTTGATGTTCACCTGATGTCCCCTCCCCATCTCATCTCTGACTGCTACAGTCCTATGGGACATAGAGAGGACCACAGAAAGAGATCAGGACTATCTCCAGGTTCATGCTAGGACTTCTAGTTGTAGGACCATGAACAACTTGCTTATTAACTTCTTCAGACCTCAGTCTTCTTGTCTCTACAATAGGTATAATGAGCCCTTTGCAAGCCCCGGGGTGATTATGGGGTTCTGATGGTCTCACACAGCAGACTGCCCAGCCTACATTTCAAAGAGCAGTGTGCACACACACCCCATAATTACCCTCTTAGAAGGCTATACTCAAAAGTGGCTTCCTCCAGGAAGCTTCCTCCCGCCTCCTCAAGGCCCCTTCAAAAACTGAACTCCATGACGCTGAACGTTATACATTTTTATGTGCCTGCAAAGAATTGTCCAAAGCACCAGGCTTGGTCACCAGAGAATCCCAAGTTTAGAACTACCACCCCATCAGCTGTGAAATCCTCAGTCAACTTCTTAACAGTTGAGAGAGAGGCTTCAATGTTGGCCAGCTGAAGTACTGGGGCTTCCAATCACCTCCCTCACAGAGTTTGCGTGAGGATTACATGAGGTGATGACCCTGAAATAGCTGCACAGAGAACAGGTTTGGTTGGCTTGTTTCTTCCCCATTTGACTTATTCAGAAATGAGACTGCCTCATGCTAATTCTTCAATCAGCTCACAGCGGTGAATGAGTGCATTGTCCCACACACTGAGAAGGGTCCAGAGAAGTACAAGCAGGGGCCCTTGGATGAGGAATCTAGAACCTGAAAACTTCACTCTAGATAAAACGGGAGAGAAGAATTGGCTCTCTTAGGATCAGACCCTAAGAAGGAAAACAAATGGCCCCATTTATGAATGATCTAGGCCAGCAACTTCCTTGAATCAACAAATGGCACTTTCCAAAGCCATGTCACTTGTCACTTTTATGAGGAACTTTTTTCTCTGTCGAGAGAACACACAACACCCCCTTTCCCGCCAGTACTCTGTAAGGATAAGATGAAAGTAGAACCTAATCCCATGTGTACATAAAAAGCCCTGGGCTCCAGGAAGTGAACAGTGGGGTGTGGACGGGCTTATAGTGAACAAGATGAGCAAGACATGGAGTTTGCTCCAAGGCACAGAGAGGAGATGGGGCCGGGTTCCAGAATGGACTTCCATAGCCCAGCTGACTAAGGCAGAGCAGAGCTGGGTAGCTGAGCACAGGCCTGGTGTGGGAGGCAGCCCATGGTTCCTCCTGCGTCAGTAGGGCGTGCATCTGCACATGTAGGTCACAGAGACTTACCATGCTGGAGTGGACCGTTGCCTGCTCAATGTACCTTGCAATGCCCGTGACAAACGCATTCCTGTCCTCGAAGTTCGTGTCAAAGTTAGCCTGTGGAGGGAGAGGACAGGAGGGGGTATTTGGTTACTGGAAAAACACATCTAAGCTGGCTGGATGTCTAGGGAGTGAACAGCCGCCAACAAAAGCCACAGGCTTTCTGTGGAAATCTACTGCCCCACGGCTTTCGAATATTACCCATTACGGCCTCCAAACAGCTGAGGACAGATGCACAGCACCTGCTTCTCACAGGTGACGGGTTTTGCTCAACCAAGCCCCAGAAGTACATGTTTGATTCCGAATTGACACTTTCTAATTCCAGTTAGTAGGGATCCGCGAATAAACTCTGCCAACTTATTCATGTGATTAGTGCGCTACAATTAATCTGTTTTATATGCTTGTCAGGATGGATAAAAGTTCAAGCACAAGGAAGTCATACTTCCCAGCTAACTGTGCAAGTCCAAACAGTTGCTAAAAGTCAAAGGTGCATAGCTCTGATCCAGCCACTCAGACGCACATGCCGGAGGGTGCCCAGGTGTGGAGGTAGAGGTCAGGCCACCACCGCAGCTTTTACAATTAAACAGCCCCCTGGAAATGATGAAAATAGCCAGCAAAAGCTGGAGAAGATGACAGTCTCAGTACAATGGGCTGGAAGGACCATGAGCTGCTTAAACATAGGGCGGCATTACTGTATCACTGATGTCCAACAATATCCACTCAAGTTTTTGCTGTTGTGAGTTTTGAGACAGCGGTTCTCTTTGTAGCCCAGGCTAGACTCAGACTCACAGAAATACTCTTCCCTCAGTCTCTGGGATGCTGGCATTACATCTGTGAGCCATCCTACCTGTCTCCACAAGAAATGTTAAGGAAAAGACAGTGAGTGTGTGTGTGTGTGTGTGTGTGTATAAAATGAATATATAATGAATTCCTGTTTTAGTAAAAAGAGGACTATATACACCAAATACATTTAATAAAACAAAATGTCTATGTAAACAGAGAAGGGTATATCAGTATAAGAAATTCATTTCTATGCTATGCTTTTCCATTTTGTTAATAATAAAAATGTCTCTCTATAAAACTAAAACCAAAAGATACTTGTATAATTAAAATTCTAATCTGCATTAAAAGCTACCAATAAGTCAGATTTAGGAACTGAATCTTCAAGTACGTGAAGATTCATTTAATTACTGAGTGAAATGAAAAAATATAATTATACTTAGTCATCATTCAGCATCTAAGACTTAGCAAAAAGGTCTAACACAGCCCCAGTTTTCAAATTAACACATTCTTTCTTAACATGGCATTCAGCCTGGCGCACCCAGACGAGGGGCTTTGGCCAGGCTGCCTCCACCTGCATGAATGCCCTCCTGGCTAGGCCTGCCAGCGTCATGGCTGTGTGTAATGCAATGGAGGTTTATCACAAGATCTCATTTAGGGCCAAAGCAAATAACTGTGACCCACTTCCCTGAGCCACTGGCCGCTGTGTGGACTTGCGTGAGCTCTTGTCATCCACACTCAGGAAAAGTAATTACCCAGGCAGGCTCCAGAGGCTTCTAAACTGTGATATTTAATTCATGAGATCAGGGATGCCATACGCTGGGTGGTGCATCAACAGGAGCAGCCCAGAAGGAATTTAGGATCAGAGCAGACGAACAAATGCTCCCTAGGGGAGGGACATGGTCCTGACACACATTTATTAGTTAATCCATTCCCTCCACTGGGCTTCTAGAGTGCACAGGGACTCCATCAGCTCCCGACCTTTCACCTTCCAGATGCACCTCCTCTTCCCTGTACTTCAGGGCAGGTCAGTCCCCTTACAGGACCCCCAGAATCCGGGTCTCTCCACTGCACGTCACCATTTCCATTACCTGGTACATGATGGAGGAAGGCGGGGGCTCGATGCATGGCTGCTGGTCTGGGAGGGGCAGTTCCTCCAGCAGGTCCACGTTGGACAGGGCATCTTCCAAAGTGACGTGGGTGGTCATGGCTGCGGTTTCTGTCTTCCACGCTGATGGAGAGGAGAAAAGAACAAGGGAGAATTTCAGGTCCCCCAACTATTTCCTTTGGCCTCACTTCATCCAAACCCCTTCTGGAGGGTGACGAGGGTTAGGAGTCACTGAGGCCGCTCTCAAATGCCAGTGCTTCACAGATGTCTTCTACCTACATCTTTAAAATCTGAGGATCAGGGCTGGTGCGATGGCTCAGCGGGTAAAAGCACTTGAGTCTAAGTCGGACGACCTGGGTTCGATCCCTGGGACCCACATATAGTGAAAGGAGAGGACAGGTTCCCACAAGTTGTCCCCTGATCTCCACACACGCACCATGGCATGAACTGCCACACCCCCACATTGTATACACACACACACAAATAATAAAATAAATAATAAATGTCGAGGATATCTTGGCTGAACCTCACCACAACTGTTGTCTACCAGCACGGAAAGCTGGATTCTGCCAACACGGGAGCAGCCAGAAAGCACAGCTCTGAGAAGTGATGTGACATTCACGTGATCAAGTAAGCAAGGGTGAAGGACCTGAATTGATGCTGGGCATGGGGACACGGGCCTCCTTCTCTTCACAAGGATACTTATCAGTTCCTTTCTTGGCACAGGACAAATATCCATGACCGAAAAGCCAGGACAAAGGGCAACCAAGGAGACCTACACCTAGGTTTTTGAGGCTAGTTAAGCAGGAACCGCACAGTGGGTAACTTCTGTAAACCAGCCTTGTGTGAAGCAATGGAGAAGCTGCCATGTGTTCCTTGGTCTGGGGACATTTTATGAACCATACCAAAGCCATCAGCCCTTAATAGGTATTTCTGTGTCTTGGAAGCAGGTAGAATGCGGCTGGTTGGAGGGTAACTCTGCCAGGCAGTGAGGCAGAAAGGACTGAGCAGGGCAGTTAACCAGCTCAAGCTAGTTGCTATTTTTAGAACACAGCACTGTGCAAGCAGAAGATTCATTTTTAAAAACAAACAAACAAACAAATTATACGTGAAAACGGATTAAAAGCTTACACTGCATGATTTAGTGTATAAACTGGGTTCCCACCAGTAGCCTCTAAAAATGATACATTAGATCAGGTGCGGTGACATATGCACACAGTCCCAGCACTCGGGAGACCAAGGCAGGAGAATCGTGAATCTGAGGCTAGTTTGGGTTATATAGCTGAAAGCCTGCCTGGTTACACAGTGAGGCTGATCTGAAACCGCATCCCCCCAGTGATACAGCACCAACACCAAGATTTACTACAGCGCCAACAGTGCAGATGAGAGCCCCCAAATTCACCCCTTTGAAAACCTATAAACCCACAGAAACATATTCATAGCTACAGAGCGATCCAGACAGAAATGGTAATTACTTAGAACTAAAGGGAAGGGATAAAAGTCTTAAATACATGTAATTGAAGGTAAGAAAAGTGGAACATGGGTCTAGAGAGATCGCTCAGTGGACCAGCGGGCTGCTCTTTCAGAAGACCCAAGCTCTGTTCCTAGCATCCAAGTTGGGTGGCTCATATCCACCTGCAACTCCAGCTCCGGGAAATCTGGGGCCCTCTTCTGCACACATACAAATAAAAACATAACACATTTTCAAGGAAAGAAAAGTGGAACTCAATTAGCCCAATGTAGCACTGAAACACTTAAAGAGATCAAAAGCGCAAACCCAAAGAAATGGAGCTAGAGGAGTCCGTAATTACAAAGACAAATAATAATAATAAAAATAAAAAAAACCCAGTAGAGGTCAACAACAACAACAAAACCTAAGATGAGTCCTATAGGATCATTAGTGATAATCCAGCCAGATCTTTACTACACAAATAGGAAGAAGACACAGAGAAGGGCCACTGTGCTAGCTAGCCCCATAGCAGGGAAATATGGTTTAGACAAGGGCTGGATTCTCTCAGTGTCAGGGACTGTGCCCTGTGTTAGAAAAACAGCGTCTGTTGGCAGGCCACATGGGGACCTTTGATATGTAAATGTGGTCTGGGGGCTGCAAAGAGCTGGAGTGCATGGCTGCAAAAAGTTGGAGCTCATAACCAAGGCCACACTGCCAATTAATACCTCTCTCAGGCCCAAGGTCGGGAGGGCAGATGGAGGCTGGGCGGCTGGAGATCAGCTGACTAGAATTCACACTCCACTGAGTTCTCACACACACCTTCTGGGCATGTGCCCTGCCAATGGCACAGCCAGCCTTTGGAACTCAGCGGTGACCTACCCCTCTGCCTCTCTTCTCATCCCGACTCAGAATTCTAAGTATGATACTCAGGTCTACAGTAGCACGACTGTCAAGCTACACAGAGCCTCTTTTCTTCCTTGTGTTACTCTTTTTCATTTATATTTTAAAAATCATGTGTATGCACGTGTGCCTGTGTGTGGGTATGTGCACACGTGTGCAGGTACTGGTGGAGCCCAAGAGAGATCATCAGATCCCCTGAAGCAGTTTAGAGGCAACTGTGAGTCTCTAAGTGTGGGTGCTGGGAATCGAACTTGGGTCCTTTGCAAAAGCAGTATATGCTCTTGACTTCTAAGTCATCTCTCCAGCCTTTCTTACATTTCTATTAAGTCCACTTGAGGGTATATGATCTACAATTAATTACAAAGCCCAATATGTCATTATGTCAAATAATAATCATCAGTCTTTCTTGATACCAGACATTGCAAGGGTTCGCCTGTTTGCACAGCCTATCAGTCATGCACCATGGGATTCTGCTTCCTAGACAAGAGCACTCAGGGTTTAGAACACGGCGTTGGTGGGTTTTGGCTCTACCTGTACCGAGAATCACATGAACAGCTTTATCAATACCAGCCTGGGATCCACTCCTAATACAAGGAAGATGCCATTTAAAAGCTTACTGTTTCATTTGCAGTAAGAAACCCATACTGCCATTACTGATCAAACTCTTATGACCACCATGCCACTGGCCAGCTTATAGAGAAGCTGGCCCTTGGTCACACTGTTGGTTGGGGTATAAAATATGCAATTGCAACAGACTGAAAAACGCAAACATCTATGACCGCAGGGCTGCTGGAGCCCTCCACAGTGAGGACAGAGCAGCAGCAAGCCCTAGGATGCATGTGTGTGGACCATGTGGTCCCATTTATCCGAGAGGAAGATGCATATACAGACACAAAGACTCAAGGATGCGCTATACAAAGGCTGTTGAGCTTTGAGGAAGGAGAAAGAAGCTTAAGGCCTATGAAGGAAACAGTCTAGCAATCCTGAATATACCTGGTTTTCCAGGTTTTACATGATTGTAAAATAAGCTTTAAACTTAAAATGCAAACCCCTAAAAAAGGAATAAATGGAAGGAAATGAATGTATATGTGAACAAATTATTGGTAGAGCCACACAGAAAGGAATTGTTCCAAGTGATTCTGTGACGTGTGTGTGTGTGTGTGTGTGTGTGTGTGTGTGTGTGTGTGCGCGTGCGCACGCAGATGTTTATGAAGGCCTAAGGGGGATGTAGAATCTCCGACTTCCTTACTTTTTCTACACTGCCTTGAGACAGGATCTCTCACTGAACCAGGGGCTAGACTGATAGCCAATAAACCTCAGAGATTCTCCTGTTTCCGCCTCCCACAGCACTGGGGTTATAGAAATGCATGACCATGCCTGGCTTTTTACATGGTCCTTGTGTAGCAAGTGCTCCTACCCACGGAGCCATCTCTCCAGCCTCTCATTCAATAATCCGATGGTAGATTCTGGGGAGGGGGGGACACACCCTGAGAATGACAAAAGTAAGGGATGGTGGTGCTGGCCTTTAGTCCCAGCGTTACAGAGGCAGAGATTATCTCTGAGTTTGAGGCCAGCCTGGTCTACAGAGTGAGTTCCAGGACAGCCAGGGATACACAGACAAACCCTTTCTTAAAACAACAAAAACAAAAAACAACCTCGCTTTATTTTCAATACCATACAGATACATTACTGTGACATGTTTGGATGTGTTAGGAGGAAATGAGTGATTATGAGATGTGTTCCTCTTGTTGTTGAGACGAAGGTGTCCTTGATATGACTGAAAATACTTTATTTACAACTGTAGAGAGTCATTAAAAACTAAATACCACAGGAAACAATACTGAATGGTGATTTGAAAGAAAATGGCCCCGAAAGGGAATGGCACTATTAGGAGGTGTGGCCTGCTGGAGTAGGTGTGGTCTTGTTGGAGGAAATATGTCATGGTGGGATGGGTTCTGAAGCCTCCTTTGGTCAAGTTTCCCTCAGTGTGACACTGACCACTTCCTGATGGAGGAGGGTCTATGTGTTACTTTCATTGGTTAATAAAGAAACTGCCTTGGCCCTGATAGGACAGAAAATTAGGTAGGCGGAGTAGACAGAACAGAATGCTGGGAGAAAGAGGCAGAGTAAAGCAGTCGCCATAGCTCTCCTCTCCAAGATGGATGCAGGTTAAGATCTTACCGGTGAGCCATCACCTCGTGGTGCTACACAGATTATTAGATATGGGTTAATCAAGATGTGAGAGTTAGCCAGTAAGAGGCTAGAGTTAATGGGCCAAGCAGTATTTAAAAGAATACAGTTTCCATGTAGTTATTTCAGGTAAAGCTAGCTGGGCGGTGGGCCTGCCGCTCCACACTACAAATTCCTGCTGCCTGCAAGATGTAGGACTGTAAGTTACTGCTCCAGCGCCATCTCTGCCTGCTCGCCACCATGTCCCACCATGCTGATAACGGACTAAACCTCTGAACTGTAAGCGAGCCACCCCAATTAAATACTTTCCTTTACTAAGAGTGATCGTGGTGTCTCTTCACAGCAATAGAAACCCTAAGACATGGTGGCTAGCTTTGACTGTGGGTTTGATACAACATGGAATCACCTGGGAGCAGAGCCTCAACGAGGGATGGTCTCCATGGGCTTGGCCTGTAGGCATGTTTAGAGGGGGTTGTCTTAACTGGGTTGACTGATGGGGGAGGACCGAGCTGTGGGCAGCACCGTTCCTTAGGCAGGGCGTCTCCTAAGTGAAATAACGGGGTAGGTATGCATGCATTTCTTT